ATAAAGGGCTGGTAGGGAAGCTAGGTGGGGTTTTGAGAAAAGAAATCGGAGCTCGGGGTGGGGGGAGCAGTTTAAATAGCTGCTGCAGCACAGTGAAACTGGGGGCAACATGACCCCTCTCTGTGGACCTGATCAGAAACCGGCTCTCCATTATGTGGCCTGTGATGGCTTCAGCTGCACAGTGAGGGATGCAGTAGCTGGACTTGCTTAAATCCCTCCAACCTAGTATTTATTGGGTCTATTAAGATCAATGGGCGCCAGTTGAAAGCCCAGCAGGTTTTGGTTCAGGTGCATGCAAATTGGTGGTTACACTCTGTGGTGAACCCGATCCTGTGAAGTGTTTGCACAGCTTCCGTAATGCAAACCAGTTCTTGCATTTCTTGCTATTGTTTTAGATGAGATGTCATTAGATATTTGTGTGTTTCCTGCTGACACTTCAATATAAATAGTTTGAACTGGAATGCAGCATTTGTACTTTGTTCATTTTGTTGAAAATGAGTCACAGCTATTGTTTCATGCAGTGAGTCATAGGTTTCTGTATGGTTTATCCATGGATTTACCTCTGCAATGTATCATTGTCAATTAATGGTGACATTTTCCTCTCATTATTCACAGGAGAGGAGGAGCTTTGCCTGATGGGACGTCTGTGATTGGAGGAAAACTTGTTTTCCAGCGGGCCCTACGCAGCAATGACAGTGGGGTCTACGGGTGTGTGGTCAAGAACAACGTGGGAGTGGATAAAACAGAGTATATGTTGACAGTAATAGGTAAGAGCAAGGCATTTCATCTTTGTTAGTGGTTAAACTCACACAGGATTAAAATAAGAAGCTGCTACTGTATGGTTTGTTGGTGTTGTAGAAGGAGGAAGTGAAAGGACAGACACTCATCATGGGACAGAGTAAATTCTCCTTTTGATTTGGAGTAATTATGCAAATTTGCTTCCCCCTTGTGGTGGACCGAAGGCATAAAACAGATGCTGTTGAACTCAATCAAGATCAGAATTGCTTGTTTGGATGAAATATAAAAAGTGTAGCTTTGTTGCTGAGTAAATGTGTTTGTGTGAGGGGAGATTCATGAGATGGCTTCCTTATCTTTCTTCCAGGGCCTTCTCCACGTATGGACAGTACCCCCATTGACAACAAGTTGTTGATCATTATTGGGGCTTCAGCTGGAGCTTTGATCATGGTGCTGGTCATTGTCGTCCTGCTAGTCAACCGCTACCATCGGCACAAAAACAAAAAGCTTGCGATGGAGCTCAGTGAAAAAACGTAAGTCGACCCACATTTTCTTGAAAAAATACTTTTATTTATTGCCCCAACTGTGATGACGGCTCAAATATGAATGTTGTAAACTGCTATTTAAACTGTTTACAGACTGTGAACTATTTTCTTAAATTAAAATTTCAGACACTATTCTTCAGTTAATCCTCCAAATGTGCTGTCTTTATTCCCAGGGACGAAATTAACAGCCTCTCCAGACAAGCCTCCTTCAGGAGACTGAACTCTGTCAGCACAGACCCCAGAGTGCCGGTACAAACACACACACACACACACACACACACACACACACACACACACACACACACACACACACACACACACACACACAGCTTCTGAGAACAATAACCTGCAGGGTTGACAGAAACCAGGTCGACACACCCGGGGTGGAGCCGCTGGCAGGTCAGCAGCCGTGTCTGCTGCGGAGGCCGATGATTACAGGATGCTGCAGCTTCAAACAAATAGCATGCAGTGTTCACGTCATTAATATTCCATTCTGGGTGAATCATTTTATTTATCTTTTGGGTTCATGTTCACAAACATTCTTTTACTTTCTCTCTATTTTATATATTTTTTTCCAGGCTGAAGATTACGCGCTGCTCAGAGTAGACAGCCGAATGAAAAACAGCCAAATGTCTCTGGTGAGTTCCTCTCTGGGGGCAGTGGAGTGGAAGAACAGTTTGATTTTGAGTTGGTTATAATTAGTTTGTACAGTAATGAGTACTGTAAGGCTGAGTGACGATTCAGGTAATTTAGATTTAGGACAGACTTTTGATAGGGGTGAAAAGAAAAACAGATGATGCTCACTGAGCAGTTACATCATTTAATCCAAAATATGAAGACTTGAATTCACTCAGTGTCTTTTTTTAAAAAAGAAAATAACTGAAAAGAATTTAAGTTAAATCTTTTTAATTTGGAAAATATGCAGTCCCTGTACTTGACAATGTCATTTAAAATCAATTAACCTTGGCTCTTTTTGTTAATAGTTTCCCTGAAATTGTTACCAGTTGATTATATATGTAATAGATTTATGTATCATGGGGAGGGGGAGGTGCACAAGCTTGATGTTTTTTAGGCTCCCAAACGGTTTAATGGCATAAAAAGTTTGGGAACCAGCAGATTATTTGATTAACAGGAAATTAATTGACAAAAATTGCTGACTCTAGCTTCTGGAATCTGAAGATATGGTATTTTCTTACATTTATAGGATTAAAAATTAAATGAAAAAAAATCTGAATATCACCATAAGGTCTGGTAAACTGTGATAGGCAATTTTAATTATTTTCTGGCATTTTATATAATATTAAATTAATTGAATCATCTGAAAAATGGCTGACCAGAGAAACCACTCCAATGTGGTTTGGGAGGATTTTACTCAATGAACACAACTTAAGTGATTTAGTTGTCGTGATTTCATTTGCAACAGTAAATTAAAAGCCAGAATTTAAGGTTAGGGACTTTTAAAGATTTCGAGTAAATGCTGAACAATCCCATTTTAAATGAAAATGCAAAGAGTGTCATCAGTCACCAGCTGTCTCTAGCAGCTTTCTTTCCTCCATTATAATGCAAATTAATACAAGAAAAAAAAAAGGATTACAGTTGATTAATTTACATAGTTATTATGTAGAAGAAAACAAACCGTTGTCATCAGTGTTGTGACTGTTTTTGGTCTCCTCCCGCTCCTGCAGGAACGACCCATCTACAAAGGCAGCCAGTCCACTCTGGGCGGGAAGTGGGGGCCTTCGGGTGGGGTGGAGGTGGACGAACTGGGACGCCCCGTAGTCTGGCACGACGGCAGGGACAGCCTGAGAGGAGCGGAGATGGAGGTAGAGAAGGAGGAGCGCAGGAGGAGGGTGGAGTCTTACCTGAAGAGCAGCAACATGTCACTGGTATGTGTCAGCATCAGAGAGATTAGGTTGAAATGCATTTAGTTTCGCTTGTACCTGTCAAATGGTATCGTGTTTTATTTATTGTCATTGTCACTGTCAGACATTGTCTCGGAGACACAACAGACGAAGGCTTATTCTATCAGCCATAATTGTTTCATTATTAATAAAAAGTGTGTGTGGACAGATCTGTTTCTTCCAAGTGATCATGTTTGTGTACAAATAGGAGATACCATCTTTTAATAAGGCCAAATCTTCACTCTACAGGGTTGCGTTCAACACTGCCAAATGTAGAAAAGTTTCCTTTGATGTTTTTTTTAAGTAGATCTAGTGGTGTGTTATTGACCAACCTGTTGCTAAACAATGGTTGTTAATGCTACTGCTATAGCAGATAATTTCTTTTTTTTTTAAGTCTGTGTAAGTGATTAGAGGTGTAAAATCATTACTTTTATCTCCATTTAGCACTCTATTGGATCTTTTTTTTATCAGAAAAGTAGTAATGTGATTTTAATATCCGTCTACCAGGACTCAGGACTGCCCTCTTCCCTGATTCCTGTGAAGGTCCAGCCAGATGAGTGTGTCGGGCCCAGAGACCAGGACCTGGGCTACCACATGGAGGGAGACTCCCCACAGTCGGTAGCGGACGGACACGAGGACGACGAAGTCAATAGCTCCTACCAGATTTCGGAGGCGCTCACCAATCACTTCTACTTCAGTAATGGCGTCCTCAGGCCCAGGCCACACTCCAACGCCATTCTGCTGCACCCCAGAGGACAGATCATCTAGCCCACAGACTCCCGTCCACAACATGAGAAGAAAGAAAGCCTTTAATGCATTCCTGCATTGAAAATGACTTCATTTATATAATGGGATGTTTGTTTTGTACACACTGACTGCAGCGGGTAATTAGCCCCAAGAATGATCCAAACTTTGATTCTTTTTTTTTTTTTTTTGCTTCTGGCTTGTAAGATTTTGAGCTTTTATCCAAACACTATAATAATTGGAAAGTCTTTGGGTTTTTTTTTAATGCCATAATTGGGTAGCTGATGATGGAGAGATGACAGGAAATGAGGTGGGGGAGAGAGATGGTGAATGTCATGCAGTAAAGGTCCCCAGACAGACACAAACCGGTGACGTTGCGGTTCAATTTTTTTTTATCCTAATTATTTTAATAAATCAACTTTTTTGCCTTTCACAAACCACGATTTCCTTCAAAGTGCGTGTAACAAAGGTTCCTGTTACACAATGTTTACTACCTGCAGTGCTAAAAGTTTGCGCCTAACAGCTGGGCAAACTATTTTATATTCAAAGATTTAAATTGGGAGATTCCCAATAAATGATGCCAATTTACAGTTCTTTGTTTACATCACAAACATGCAGGGAAGGAAAATGTGGACGAGGACAACATCTAAGCTCCGATGCTTGACCGAGTGAAGAGTAAACTGCACTCAAAACTCTGATATTTTCACCCTGGATAAACCTGTGGATAAGATGTTAGTATGTGTATTTGTATATGTATTTTATATATATATATATATGTAAGGAGCTACTTTATGTTTGTGATCATGTAATTAACAGCAGTTACAAAAAGGTCAAAAAAGGCTGTTACCCTGAGAACCTGAACACAGACATGGACAAAGTCTTCAAACTGGATGGATAAACGCAACAAACTGGTTTCCATAACCCGGTTTTATCTAAATCAACGTGACAAGACTGGAAGAAACGTGCGTGGAGATGAACTGTAAAGCAACTGTGTATATGTTTGTTTTGTTTTTTTGTGTAAATTGTTTTATATCCATTCGGTGTTTTTTTCTACAAAACTGAAAAAGTGGACATGTAAATGTTAAAAAGTTTATTCATAAAAGTACAGCATAAAAACAAAGTCATCGTTCTTTATTATAACCTGGGACAATTACGCTCGTCTCTGCTCACACAGGAGGTTTTATTTAAAGGGCATCGTTAAATCACAGCCGCTGCAGTAATGTAGCATTCGTATTAGACTGTAGTGATTTTCTGGTTCATCCTCATGTGACGTTTACGTCCTTGTTAGCTCGGTAACGACTGTTGAGACAGGTAGGGGGAAAAAAAGTGCATTTTCACAGGTTGGCTGGGCTCACTCTGTTACAGGGCGATGAGTTGATCTCAGTCTGTATTTTTAAAGGTCCAGTCTGTAACATTTAAGAGGATCTACTGGCAGAAAAAGGCCTTTTGGAGTTTGTTTCTACAGTAGCCCAGTGTGGACAAACTGGCACCGTAGTTTCTCCTACGCACTTCACAACCCGTTTCACATTTCCAGGTTGTGAAATACAGACGCGAGCAGTGTTCAGTTAGTTTGTGATCTGCAACTTTTCACCGCTAGATCCGACTAACTCCTACACACTGGTCCTTCTGACGGATAAACTCAACATTTTGTGAAATACGCTTATTTACTTTATTGTTGAGAGTTAGATGAGAGGATCGAGACCCCTCTCGTGTATGTCAGTCAGCAGCTGCTTAGAATTTAACTGAATTTCTCCTAAGGGGGATTAATAAAGGTATATCTTATCTTAAGACTGGAAGAAGGGGAAACAGCTACCCTGGGACTGTCCAAAAGTAAAAAAACCTGCCTACTAGCACCTCTGAAGCTTATTAATTAATATGTTAAATGTTTGTTCACAAAAACCAAACCACAACAAGCTTTAGAAGCGGGTTATATGCTGGAATTATTTTATCCATGTCAGTATCAAACAAACGAGATACATACGGTTAATCGGTGGGAATTAGAAGAGCCAGTCGGCAGGTTTAGTAACCTTTGAAGAGAGCCAGGCGTGGCTGACTGGAGGACACCAGGGACTACCTATAAGATGTCCTACATCTCCCATCATGCAACAGCTCGCCTGGAGATCTCTTGGGAAAGCTCTAGAGTAAGTTACTGCTATGATATGAATGTTTGTACTATGAAGGTTCCTATCTGACGTTACTGAGCTGTAAACATATAAATGGAAGCTATAATGAAATGACCCAAGGTTTTAATTCTTACAATGTTAAGATAAGGAGCTTTCTTTGCTTAAAAGCCTTAAAAAATATGACTGATATTGCCAATTATCATTAATTAATTGTGCCTCAAATTCCCTGTTTCGGCTTACAAAGGCAACGCAGGTCATCGAGTAATAACCGCTGTGACTAAACTTAGTGTGAGTTCAGTCTCATCCTCTAAGTGCTGTGGCTGTCTGTCCATCAGGTCAAGGAAAATCTGTTTGGAAATAATTTTTTAAGCTTATTTAGATGCAGATCTGGGCTGCTCCACTAGCTCGATGTTCACCGTGAACCTGATAATGAACAGTGGATGGGACAAAAGGTAACGCTAAGAGATATTAGATAGGTCTATAATAATAAAAATACAAACAGATCGTTGTTGTCCAAACCTTTCTGATTCACAACGACTATCATCAATCAACCAAATATGTATAACATTTAGAAGTCTATAAATCTCTTAACCGCCAGGTTTTTACAAACAGTACATTGTACCAAAATTAGTTCTTACAATCAAAGCTATGTCAAAGTTATAATATCCAAGAAAACAGAAGTGCACAGTAAATCAGTCGGCTACATTACTTTTCAGTAATATCAAAATACAAAGAGAATTTGTTAAATCGTCTAGACATACACCACAGAGACACTCCTAGCTTTTCTTCAAACTCTACAGAATCAAACTGCATTTTGGGATAGAGCCTCTTTGTGAGTCCGCTGGTGAGTGCGAAGGTTACTCCTCTGAGAAAAACACTTGCCGCACGTATCGCACGTGTACGGTTTCTCCCCCGTGTGAATGCGCTGGTGGATCTCCAGGTGGCTGACGCGATCGAAGCTCTTGCCGCAGAACGGGCAGATGAACCACTTCTCCTTGATGCGACGGCTCGCTATGGTTTTGTGCAGCTCGGGGTCGTTCAGGAGGAAGAATCTGCCGTCCGCGTTGAAGGCCGACGTGTTTTTAGTTTGCGGTTGCTTCTCCGAGAGGAACCTGAGGGACACTCCTCTCTCCGGGTGATTTATTGCTTCTATAGGCTGACTTGGTTGAGCTTGGCTAAAAGGCACGGGAGCTCTCGATTTACTCGACGCACCTTGTCCATTGTCCCTCGTGAACCTGTCCGAGTACGCCGTCTCCGCTGAATTATCAAAAATGTCCAAAGCGTTCTGAATGAGCAGGATCTCCGAGTCCAGATTTTGCGACAGCTGCTTTGGTTCGAAGAAGCAGTCCGTTTCGTCGGCGGTGTCGCTGTCTCCCACCGACACCGACGACCACTGCTGGCTCTCTTGTTCTTCCATGAGCTCAGCGGGTTGGAGGCTCAGCTCCATCTCGTGGTGACCTGCTCCGTCGTTGACGCTCTGATCAGAGTCCACTATCTGCTCCACAATCTGGACGTCGTCCTCGTCCTCTAGCTTGACTATTAGGTCCTCCTCGTCGTCATCTCTGCCGTCGCTTTCACAGTGGTCCGATTTGAGCTGCTCGCACGGTTTCTCCTCCGTCTGCGGAGGCGGCGGGGTTCGGTGATTGGCCGAGGTGTCCGCCTTCTCTCTGACGCTCTGATCAGAAGACAACGTCTGGACTGAATCTATTATCGGCCCTGAAATGACAGAGCAGGTGCATTTTTATTTAACTTTCATTCAACAGTTTCCTTGTATAATAATGTATAAGTTTTACTACTGGTGATTTATAAAGGACGGTACACAAAGAAGAACCAGTCGGTAGTATACAGGGGTTATAATTAAATATATTGTGATATATTAAGATACTGTAAGAGAATAAATAAATACATTTTAAGAAAACTGTCACTGTATAAAGAAAACACCACCATGTGCATAAAATCTGAGTAAAGAAACATTTACAACACTGCTATCCACTGTATAGTTTGATGTTTTCCTATATATTCCTGCACCCCTCGTATGTATTTGCTGAAGGTGAACACAATCACCATTTTGAAAGTGAGGTTTCAAAGCTTTCCAGACAACACAGAACAAGTTAAACAGGTACTAAAGAGCGGGCGAGTGCTGCTGCCTGACACACAAGCCAAACACAAAAAAACCTGCAGTACAGACGGGTTGTGAACGTAAGTATTTAACACGTTAAAGGATATTTAACTGGACTATTCTATTAGGAGAGGGATAAATATGTGGCTGGATGTCACAAACTGAGGGACAGATATTATAATGGAGCTCAGGCAGGCAGGAAAAGCCAAGCTCAGCCACATCAGCTGATTGCATATGATCGTAAACACACATCAGCTGATTCCCTCCACAGCATCCTATTGGAAAATATCATTCAGCCTGCATGTTTTTCCATATATGCACGTAGAAGGGCAAATATATATATATATATATATATATATATATAGACATTCTGCATTTGGAAATAAAGTTTTCTTTGGTCCTGACTGGAATATCTTTAGTTATTATTACTTATTATCACACACTTACTGTTTACTAGCAAATTTATAGATGTTTATTCATCAATTTATTGTATTGTATATAATAAACAGTACATTTTATGAACTGTAATCTTAATTAATTGCACGTATCAACTGTATTTCTCCTGCTCTCTCTCTTGTTTTCACATTATTAACGCTTTGGCAATAACAGACCCGCCATTAAAGCATATTAACCCGAAATAAAACCTCCTTTATACTCTGCTTCAATCAGTATCAGCCTGTCCATTGTACGGCCGTGTGTTTATTCTTACCCTCGCCGGTGGGCGGCGGGACCTTGCCCTGCTGCTCCCTCTTGGAGGAAGAAGATGAGGAGGAAGAGGAGGATGAGGAGGAGGACTGAGACATGACCGTTAACCGCTCGTTTTCCATCAACATCAACTTCCTGTTCAGGGCCTCGATCTCGTTCTCCCTCCGGCGGAGCTCGACCTGAACGAGCGCGAAGCCGTCCTCCCAGAGTTTACTGATCTCCACCACGGCGGCTTTCGCCAGCATCTCCATGATCGAGGTTAACTTGCTCTGGAAAGCCACACAGTTGGCCATGTTGCCACCCTCCTCTCTCTCTCTCTCTCTCTCCGTCTCTCTCTCTATCCCCCCCCTCCCCCCTCAACGTCACACACCCCGCTAGCTGTTACTGTGGCGACGCGACGGACGTTGAGCGACCGTTGTGTGCGGGGCGGAGGAGCGCGCGGTGGCGACCGTTGGGGCCGTTCGAGGAGGGAGACGACATGGACGTGTGACGACACAGGAGCAACAGGAAACGATGGCTGGTCACGTGACGGAGCACCGTCTACGGCGCTGACTGTGGGACAAACTTCAACAGCAACAACAACAAAAAAAAAAAAAGTGGTTTATAATAAACTAATTAATGTGGTTGTAAGCAGAGTTAACACACTTTTTAAGGTGCTTATTACTCAATTTGTTAAAAAAAAAAAACTACTGTAGTAACTCAAATATTATAGTAATTAGATTACTTTCCCCTGTAACTAACGTTAATAGTGTAACTAATTACTAATACATTTCAGTAATAACATTACAGCCCCCCCAACACAAATAATTAGTTACTATATTACTTTTGTTACATTATTATATTACTATTAATATAGTAATAGTCACATATTTATATTATTTTTTGTAGTTGTGGAGGAAGATATTTATTTTACTTACATTACTTTTAACAAACAAAACTGGATTTTAATTGGCTTAATGGTGAATTTTGTGGAGAACAATTACCAATTGCTTGGGGAATAGCAGAAAAGTAATGTAATTACTGTTGGTAGGGAGTAATGTGTAAAGTAATAATATTACTTTTGAAATGAGTACTGAATAAAAAGTTTTAGTAACTAGCCCAGCACTGCTAATACCTCACTTAAAAATACTCTGTTACAACTTAAAAGTGCTGTACTAAACATGTTACTATAGTAAAAGTATGTAAGTAAAATCATCAAAATGTACCGAAAGTAAGTAAAAGTATTCCACGCAGGAAAAACTGTGTGACTGTTATATATTATTATTATTATTATTATTACTCATGCATTAATGTAAAGGCAGGATTTTACTGTTGTAGTTGGTTGAGTAGGAACTCATTTTTGCTATTTTATAGAGAAACTAATAACTAAAATAACTAATTATTTTCTTTATTAATAGATTTGATTGATTGTTCGGATTCTAAAACTTCGGAAAATATAGTGACATTAGTCCTAAACTGAACCATGAAATGTATTTTAAAATGACTATAAACAATTAATAGTCAAAATCAGAATAGTTGCCATACATTTTTTGTGTATCTGTATCAATCTGTATTGATCGACTAATTATTTCAGGTTTACTTGTACATGTTGTTACATTGAGTAGAGTAGAGTTTAATCTATAACAAAATATACAATTTTGGACGCATAAATCTGTCAAATAATTGTATTGGAGTATAAGTAGAAAGAAGATACTCGAGTAAAGTGACACAAATTTGTACGTACTTATATTTTGTAAGTACAGTGCTTGAGTAAATGTGAAACTATGACTGTACATTCATAGTTGCATATTTTTTTTCCTGTTGGTGGTCCAGCTTTGCCAATATATATTATTGGATCTTATTACCAATACACAGTGAAAGTTCTCTCGGTCAAATCAACAGGCCGCAACAAATCAAGTCCATCCAAATATAACTTCTGTGATCTAATAAGTGTGACTTACTCTTTCATAATTATGATAATTATCTCAATTTGGATGTAATTCATACAAACATTTGCTTTGGTGGAGTTTGTTTTTGAGAATGGGGCTTCATACAATGGAAGAAATAGAACAGATGAAAAGAAATGTGACTTGACCTCACCCAGTTTTGTTGGTATTTGTCATGTGAGGCTGAATAGTCTGGTCCTATTACTCTGACAGGACACACAGAAGGAGTGGCGGAGGTGGTTTATCTATCAGTGCGTCAATAGAAACATCTGTTTACACAGAGAACACGTTTTCCCACAAAGTTTATCTCAAAACTTGCACCAAACTGCATGACACAACTAAGAACACCTGTGGGTGGGTTGTGGTATCTTGCAGTTTTTTGAGTGTGATGTGCTGCCTAAATTTGTCCACTAGGTGGTGCTCTATTTCCACCAGAGCATAAAAACTGAGGTCAAAGCACCTGCCCTTGTCAGATTAGACCATTAACTGTATATTTTTTATTAAGATTAGACTTATTTGGTTGCATACAGTGCTGTAGTTTGTCATTGTAACGTTTCTATTCTAATTGCGTACCTGATTTTGAGTGCAAACATATGAAATGCATTTTAAATCTATACACATCAATGAATTAAATAAATCACATGGCAATAATTTCTTTATTGGCCAAAAAATCCCCAAATTTGTGTTTGTATTTTGGTCTTAGGGTTAGTGCCAGCCCTTTTAACCAGTGTCCATCTGTTAAAGTTGTCTTCCCACTGAAAATATAATAGCTTAATAAAAAACTATGCCTTGAAGTTTTCCAGTTTGTTGCACATCAAAGAGCTTTGGTAAGACACAATAAAGATGGAAACCAACAAAAACAGGGGTGGCTGAGGTTGCATTTCTTAACCAAAACAGACTACTCTGCACAGAAGGTTTTTCCCCGAGACGTGATTGTTGAATTTAGCCATGCTCAAGTGATTAAATGTTTAAAATATGACATTTGGTTGTTGACCTCATCATTCAGTTGGCAATCTTATCATTATTGTTCTTATGTATTAATTGTTTGCCTCATTTTCCACCCTGTAAATAACTTTTAACTGCTTTTGCATGAGAAGTGCTATACGAATAAACATATATGACATGAAAACTCCTTTACGAACGAAGGTAATGATTTCACACTCATTGATTTCCCCCTTGAATTTACTTTATGAGTAAACTCCAACACCTCCCATTTGAACAAAAATTAACTATTGTTTTTTAATTTCATGTTTCATTTTTTTCTCTTTTTATTTCTCATAATAAAGATAGTTTAGGCTACATGTATAAAAACGAGAGGAATAAATAAAAAAGACTAAAAGAAAAGACAATATAATATAATATAATATAAAGCTAGGGGGGTAAATATAAATTTTTTTATATAGTACAGGCTGCTAAAAAAAATAAATAAAAAAAGTCGAATTGAATAAAGCACGTTTTTCTACCCATACATTTTAATTTATGAATATGGCATTTTAAACGACTTTTAAAAAAAATGTATTTTATTTTGTAAATATTTTATTTCGAAGAGTTTAACACGCACGCGTCCCCCTGGCTGTTGATTGGCTCATTTCTCCTGCCAATCAAAGGTGGGCGGGGCCAGTGGGAGTTTACTCGCAGCAAGGAGGCGACGGAGCTGTCAAACACCAACAATCGTCTGAAATATTATCCCAGGCGGTACAAAAACATCGTACTTTGCTCTTTTGTGGAAACCAGAACGACTGAAACAGACTTAAAATTCATCCTTTTTGACTTTTAAACGGTGGCGACGACCGAAAACACCCCCCAGCGATCTGTTTTATGCGCGTTGGTGGATCGTAGCTCTTTGCTCGGCTCGAGTTTTGTTGACAAACTAGCCACTCAGCTAGTCAGTGAGCTAGCTGCGGTACCAACTTTGCTGCTGTCGTTTTTGGGGATCAGTGCTACCCGGGAAAAGACATGGGACCCCGGCTTGAACTGTGCCTGCAGACATCTCTGTGAAATGTACAGACAGGTAAGTCAGCTAAACTTTAAACAAGGGGGGTTTAAAACACTGACTCTGACTGTGGCTGCTTTGGTTTGTTTACATTCTCCGTGTGGCGTTTACGGACACTTTACCAATAAATTAAACACGTTGGTCCCGCTATTAATTCAACCCAGCCACCTCTGCTTTTAATGTGACTTGTTGCATGAAGCTCTGTCTGCAGTATTGGCTCATTAGCTCATGATACCCAGTTAAGGAGCAGGTTTTTTTTTTTTCTTTCCTGCCCCCATGGACTTGTTCATTACTTTTAAACCCTTGAAGAATGACAGGTATGCAGCGGCTCACATATCATGGCAGTTTTACTACAATAGATTGTGGTCAGATAAGAGGTTTCTATTCACTTTTGATGAATGTGACCTTGTTCAAATACCTGACAAAGATTGCTCTTTCAGTGAACTCTCAACTATCTTCTGTTGCTCATAGGAAGAGAAAGCCACTACTATTAACACAGTTATACAGTTTGTTTTTATTAATAATCTATTAGAAAAGGCAAAGTTGCTGCTCTCAATATGATTAGATCTTGTTTTTTTGTGTGATGCAGGTATACATACGCACATGTATGAACAAATAATTGTCTCACACACCCATTTAATACCTCTTGTCCTTCAGAGACACTCTCTCTCGCAACCCATCATTATAACATCACTTTAGTTTTGATTTATTGCTGACATTTTCTATTAGTGTGTAATCCACCGGGACACAGCTGGAGAGGGTTCAGGCCCCCAAACTACTGTTAAAAACATGTGGCCCGAGGCTGCTCTGGAGATGTCCCATCTGTTTTGGAGTAGCAACAGGCCACATTTTACAGACCCAAAAAAAGTCCGGCTTTTAAAAATTCCACCCTTTTCCATGCGTAGTCCCTTTGCTGTGGTGTTTTTAAATGCACGCCCTTCGGATATGTAGGCAACAGGGAGTAGTTTTGGAAACAAATATAGTAATGGACTGTGGTGCCTTGCCTATTTCTTCGACTAATCACATGCATCAGGAAGATTTCCAGTAGCACGGTTCATTGAGGGTTATCATGGTGTAATATACTGTGTATTTTAATGGGATAAAGATGTTTTATAGTATGTGGCTAGGGTTATCTCCCCTCTTATTGGAGTTAGATGATATGTATTTGTAATGTTTACAGAAGAAGTGGGTGTAAATTCCCTTTTTGGTGGTTATTACACTGCTTTTTGGGGCTGGGAAGATCACCCTGAGTGAAGATTGATTTTCTTACCCACCGGCAGTATGTTTTAAGAATAACACAGGTTTGGTGTGTTTATTCTTTTGCATGACTGTCATTCTAGTAAGTGTAGGAAGTTTGTGTTTAGTCAGCAAGGTCTGCTTTGACCACTGGTGTGGGTGTGCGGACACACAGAAGCTCCTCTCTGCTAGCTGTTTTGACTCAAGGGTGATTTTATATCTTACTTGCTGACCTGTTCCCGTCCACTCGCATACGATGACGTAGATGAAATGTGTGTCTCTGTTCTCGCTCTTGGACGGCAAAGCTACTGAAATGTGAAAGGAAAAAGCTCAGGCCTGGCACTTGTGGCGTGCATTTTTCTTGGCACAGGCGCTTTTATTTCTGCCGTACCGATTTCAGCAAGGCAGAAAATGAGGTGTCTTTGGAGAGAAAAAAAGAAAGTGGAGGATGAAAAGCCTTTTAAGGATGTGGCTGGGGCAGAGAATGATGTTAGAAGTTATCCAGCAGGTCTACAGTATCTCTCTAGGAGTCTAGTATCTGTGATGTAATGCCTACTGACCAAGGCAGAATCTGTCTGTGTCATCTTGATGCTGTTTTTAGGATCTGATCTTATGAGAGCTCTTGGCCTAAGATTTACTTTTGTGTTTCTGCTTTGGTTAAATGTAGGTCAGTTAAGTATATTCCTTTTTAAATCTGCATTCTTCTTACTTTTTGCTGCCCCTTTACTGGAATATCTTTTACTGAACTATTCCAGTTACGTCTTGTGTACATAAACGGTCAATTTTATGATTTCATCTAACAGACTGAAGTGTATATGCTGCATGTGGGAACCGCTGACAGTATATATGGGAACATAAATCTCAGACTACATAAATGTCAGGCCTAGAGATAGAGTGTGAACTCTATCTCTAAGTCTTTTAATATGCATGGAACACAAGTACTTAAATGAATAGTTCAACTGTAAAGGAAAGGTTAGTCATTGTTTACTTTCTGTCATTACGTTTTAAAAGCAGTTCAAATTTCACATTACGGCATCTCTGTGTCAGCCTTCTTTAACACAACTAAAGTGGATGGATGAGAATAAAGGCTGTAACTTCAGGGAAAAACAGCCATCACAATTTCCTACAGCTTCCTTTCCTACAGCATCTTCAGAAGTAGATTCAGTGTTACTCACTTAAATGCATTGTGTGTCTCCTTGAGCTCTAACAAATGTGTTAAATGCATTTCATTCCTCATAAAAAAGATTTATTTTAGTATCTAGTATTGGATTGCGACCTATGTTAATACGAGCTTGCAGTCTTCTCCTTCCCTGTCTTTGTTGGTGTGGTACGTCCACCTGTTGATCAGTGGAATAGTGTGAAACCATTGGCAGGTGTGTGAATCCTTGCGTATGAGATCAACAAAATGGGCACCACTCATAGAAAACAGCTCTATAACGCAACTAGAGGTAAAACAAACAAAAAAAAATTATAAGAGTAGAAATGCCATTAAATTACAACTTGTTCAACTCAGTCAGGTTACAGTTAACAGCTGTGTATTCCCCAGTTGCCCCTAGAAGTTCAGGAAAATGTGAAACTGATTGCGGGTTAAAAATGATCAACTGTCAACATCACAGAATAACCCGCAGGCAGGGATCAACTTTAATGGTGGCCTAGTTGCTCCAAACAACCAGACTGGACCAATATAAATCATTCAGTCTGGTCTGGTTGCCTCTGTTGGCAACCACTGTTGTCCACAAGAAAGAGACTGCAGATGTTGCATTGTTCAGTGGAGGAGTGAGCAGCTATCGTCATATGGCAGCGTAACAAAGCAAAAATGCTATTCATTACATTGATACCATAGATAATGTATTACATCACGACACAGTTGGAATTAATTTTAGGAACAATACACCTTTGATGTGGTTGTCTGTGCTACCTGTTGGTCAGCTGCCTGTAGCTGAAGGGATGGTTTCTTTCTACCTGTCTCAGTGAAAGGGGAATGTGTTTTTCAATGTCATTTTTTCTGCACTTTTCCAGGTAAATATAGTAAAATATTCATAACCAGACTCAACTTGTCTTATCAACCAAAGAGATCTTTTTCTGGAATAAAGAATTCTTAGAAGTTAGATATGAAAGCTGCATTGTTTATGAGCGTAAGACCTTTAGTCACAGACTTCCTTTCCTGTTACCCTTTGTACCCTGCTGGTTTTGTTTTGGATGGCAGAAAGGTCCAGGACCTGAGCTATTCCTTGGCTAATCTCCCATAATTAGACAATCGGCCCCTATTACAGCCATTACATTTGGGCCTGTTGAGCAAAAAGTGGCTTGTCTCATCCATCCTAAGGCAAGGCGAGGTCCAGTCTACAGCTACAGCTGCTATTAAATAGCCAAACCTTTCAAGAAAAAAATAGCATGGTAACTTTTATTTCTCTCTTTTTTTATTAGACTGAAGATGAATGTGATCATAATGTGTTAACTACGTCAACTCCATTCTGAGACAATAGGATTCACAACAATATGCATGCACCCTTTGAGGCATAACTATGAATCATTGAACAATAAACCCCACTGCCATTATATTTGTCTTGATATGTAACCACAGAAAACAACCCCTAAAGAAATCTCTTTGCTTTCTCTAGGTCTCCAAGAGCTCAGTGACTCTACATCTGTCAAACATGTGAAAACCCTCTCCTCCTGGTGGATTCTCCAGCTGTAAGCCGTGAGGAACTGGACTAGTAGGAAACATCTTGGATCATACCAGGGTGTGTCATCAGGGGTGCCCTAAACACCATTTTAAAACTGAAGTCTATGTGTGTGACGTGTTTTCTCCCAGGACACAAACTGAGTAAATTCAGCGTCGCTGTGAACCTATTCAAACAATCTAGTCCTCTTGTCATGTGGGTACATTGCAGAATAAAGCCCATATTACCCTCACTGGTATCACTATATTTCACATCACCATGGACCGGAATAAACGCAACTCCATTGCTGGGTTTCCTACACGACCAGAACGCATCAACGAGGACAGAGACGGTATTGGAGGGGTAGGAGGCGGCGAGATGGGCATGGGCCCGCCTTCACAGGTCAGTCGTCATTCTTAATTTTAACGACTAAGATTCATTTCACACGATCACTATATAGGGTTCCTGTGCAGATTTAAGAGTTTAAATAAAGTATTGGTAATTCATTATATTGTTTCCCTTTTATCTTTTGAAAAGAGAAAAATATGGAAAAAACAATGTAGTTGATGAGTTCTGATAAACAAAATAATCATTAGACCTATTATAATTACGATTTGGACTGATCAAACCAAGTTGCTCTGTGTCGGTTCAAGGGTGGGCCGGTTGTTGTCCACAGTCAGGAGATAAAATCAGTATACATTGTGCAAGGATTGATCTGATAAAGATTCATTTTTGGTCTGTTTAATTCTAACTAATGTTTATGTTTAAATTCAGACTAATGATAGGTGGGATTAATTAATAGTTGATGGTTTCCATGTCTGTCTCCGTCTGTGTCTTTGGCTATTTCGTGCAAATTATAGTATAAACGAGCATCACCAATACTGTTGATTGATGGAGCGATACACTTTAGAATTCATGTTCTCGGAAGATTTTGGGGGTTTGTCTGAAGAATTCAGTGTGAGCTTCTTTCTGTGTATGTTGGTGCAATCTTTATATCTAATCAATTAGTGCTCTATTTGATCTATCGACCTCTTGTAAGTTCCCAGTTGTAGCAGCGGTCCTACAGTATCCAAATCACATAAAGACTTCATCTAAACCTGTTGATACCAGTCTGTTCCTGTCTTTCTCCAGGTGGGCAGGGTGTGGCCATCATCCTACAGAGCCCTCATCAGTGCCTTCTCCTGTCTTACACGCCTTGATGACTTCACCTGTGAGTGGATTGGCTCTGGATTCTTCTCTGATGTCTTCAAGGTGGGTGTAGATCAGCGTCCTTGATTTTATGCTTCCCCGCTTGAGTTTATCTTCTGCCTCTTTCCATCCGTTTTGTTTTGGTCACAGATCTAATTTTCTGTTCATGGTTGGTGGTTGGTGGTTTGATAATAGGTCACACAGTCTCTGAGATCACAAATACTCTTTTAACCTTATGATTGATTTATTTTCCCTGGTACTAGATAACAGTCCTGCTAGTGCCTTTGTGCAATGGTCAGGATTATAATATAATAGAAGTAAAAGGGAACCTGTTGTGCATGGCCCTCACAAGTAAATGGCTTTTATATGTTATTAAACTGTAAAATCCAAAGTAATTTTCCATTTGATCTTATCCAGTTGATATACTCAACTCAAAGAGTGATCTATCTTCACTCACTCAAGTCTTTTCCAGACATTTCTAGGTCAAGTTAGACTGCCATCACTTCAAAGACATCATTTAAACACGGGGTTGTTAACCCTGTTACTCCGTTCCTTTTCCCTCCAGGCATGTGAATGGGAGTCACACAAGCACATTTGGCGTGTGAAACCTCTCTTTAAACAAACGCCAGCAGATGAATTTAATGTCATTTATCACTTCTTGTTGATTATATTAGCGGGACCACCATGACTGTGTGAAATTTTACATGGCTCAGATTGGTTTCGATAAGCAGTGTGAAAGGACTACTCACCTAACCTCTTGTTATGCAAAGGGTTAATACGGAGAATAAAGTATGGGGGAAGGGTTGTGTTCTCTTATACATGAAGGGAAATAATCAGATTAATTAAAGTAATGGCCTAGAAAGGTTTAAATGACATTAAGCCAGGCTCAGTTCTGTTTCATGTTAGTTTGCTGCATCAAGTTGCTTTATAGTTTCCAATTTACATTTACATTTTTCACTCTGTGTATATCTGAGTTTCATTATGGTTTTAACATAACTCTACTGCACATCTATGTAACAGTAGATCTCTATTGGATTGGTGGACTGGTTTGAAATTCAGTTTCCAGGTGACAAGTAGGGGGTTGGCTTGATTGATGATACTGGTGATATTTTTAATCATATTGTATCATATATATTTTATCATATTTTATCGTATTTCTTTTATTCAGCCATTTTAAAGGTCTAGTATGTAACATTTAGGAGGATCTATTGGAAGACAAGGAATATAATATTCATAGGTATGTTTTCATTAGTGTATAATCATCTGAAAATTAGAACTATTGTGTGTTTGTTACCTTTAGAATGAGCATTTTTTTATCTACAGAGGGAGCGAATCCTCTTCTACCGAGCCTAGAACGGACAAACCAAACACTGGCTGTAAGAAGGACCTTTTGCGAGTTTTGCGACCACCATAGTTTTCCCCACACACCGGAAGGGCACTCTGTATTCATTTGGTTGCCATCTGCAATTTCACCGCTAGATGCCACTAAATCCTACACATTGTGTAAATACTAGAATGTACTCTTGACGCACAGCCCTGCCAGTGACCGAACTACAGGCTGACACAAATAAACAACATCCAGCAGTTTCGACCCGCGTTGGACGGTGGTCACTTAGGTATCGTGCTGCTATTTCAAAACTGCATTTCAACTTTAGTATTTTGTTGGTGTGGGGGTGAAAAGTAGCAGTTGAAATACTGTAAGCAAATTTCTGTCACACCAGTTACATTCTGACTCTCCTTTCCTCGTAGTTATTATATAAAACACTATAAAACTGTAAACTAGAGTTGCAGCAATTAGTTGATAAATTGATTAGTCGAGCTACAGAAAAATAATTGCCTACTTTTTCGATAATATATGATTCGTTAAAGTGATTTTTCATGCAAATATGGCAGAGAATGCGGTTTTTAGCCTTTCAAAAAGATCAAGATTTCTTGCTTTTCTCTGTTTTACATCATATTAAAATGAATATTTTGGGGTTTTGGACTGAAAAAACAAGATGTTTAAAGTCCTCACCTTGGATTTTGAGAAACTGGGATGGACATATTTTCTGACATTTTATCAATTGATCGATTCATCTAGAAAATAATCGACAGATGAATTGATAATGAAAACAATCATTAGTTGCAGCCCTACAGTAAATTACTTCTCTATGGCTTTATAACAATGTCGGACACAAATGATACAAAACACTTTTTAGATTTTACAAAACAATGAATCAAACCATTTCTTGTTGGGGAAAAAAATAACTAAAATAAGTTCTAAGTCAATGTTGGTCTGCTTAAAGCTACTGTATGTTTTCACTGTGCAGCTCTATTATTTATGAAAATTTAAGCCAATATTTGGATCATGATAGTCATTATTAATTGATTCAAGTAAGACACGAGGGAAAAACTGTAATAGAAGCAGCTTTGACCCTGTAGCACCTAAGACACAATAATATGATAAATGTTCAGGCAAGATTCAAATTCAAAGGTAAACTTTATTATGTACTATGCTTCCCATAGCCTGTCATTGAGTAATGTAAACGTCTGTTCTTTCTGTGAGGGAGAGGAATGCATAGGTAAACAGGGAGAGAAAAGGAAATGGGGCAGAATGATGAAAAGCTTATAGTCAAGGAGAATGAGGGATAGAAAAAGGAACAAAAAGGCGGTAAAATTAATGGTGATAGAGGTTGAGGCTAAGAGGAGGAGGAACCAGCGGGGAAAAAGCTTTTGATGGCGGAGAGCTGGGGTGGCAATGGATGAAAAATGGGGGTTGAAAGGCAGTTTTAGAAGTTTATGGAGTACAAGGGGATGGGGGGGACAGACGAGGGCCTGCAGAGGAGATGAAGAAGAGTTCTGAAGAGGAAGCTGATTTAGTGGTGGTCCAGAGCTTGGGATAGAAGGAGGAGGGAGAAACGGGGGAAAAAAGGTTTAGGGGACAAGGACACTGGGGATATGTTTTCTAGAAATAAGCAGTGGTGAAAATAGGAGACACTAGAAAGGTGAGTGCGCAAGACCACAGAGCAGAAAGGAGGGGAGCGAGAAGAGGAAAAGAAGAACTTGGGGTTGACGGCTAGGGAAGATGAGGATTAGCCATGACAGTTTATTGGAGGCCACAGCGAGGAGGAGAAAGAGGGGGATCAGGACTAAATGCAGAGTGAGGAATGGGGGGTCGGAGGAGGATAGACGGATGTGGGGGAGGAGGCCTTCAGAGGAGTGGCCATCTGTTGTTTCTGCTGTCCTGCGGTGAAGACTGTCGGCTCTTATAGCCAGGCCCCTTCCTTTGAACTTGAACAGAGCGATTTCTGTGTCTGTATGTATGAGACAGAGAGAGAGACAGAGAGAGAGACAGAGAGAGAGAGAAGCCTCTACCACACAGAAAACTCCCATAATCTGAATAAAAATCAATGATCTGTTGTGTTGTTTTTATAACATATGCATCATTTTTGATAGTTTGCACTTTACGGAGATGTTTCCAAATAGCTAAATTGCAGTATAATAACACTTGTTTACTGACTTTCATAGTTAAGGCCTCCAATGTAATCCATATTGACTTTGTCCCGTCCGTCAATTTCCCAGTGTACCGCGGCTGCGATGATGGACAAAAATAAAAGAGCCATTGTTGGAAGAAAATATAAAGCTGCTCAGTGATATTATGAATATGACGGTCTCTTTGGTAACATACAAGTTTGTATTTTTATATGTTTGTATTAGTATTTTCGTTTGAGAAAGATGTTTGCAAGAAAAAAAAGTGGGCTGTCCAGATTATGTTCCACCATTTTTGTAAAATACACAGTTAATTTATTCCTATATTATCATTTTTGTTTCACAAGTACACATTAGCAGCATTGACACCTCTCCTTTTATGTATAATGTCTGGTGTGGTTTAAAATAGTCGAGGTGTTGATTCATAATGTCAGATGTGGAGTGACGTATGTGTGATTATAGCTCTCATAATGTGGCAGTATGCAGCCCTCTTTTGCATCAGTGTATGGATGCTTCCAGATGATTTCCTACTTAATACCCCGTCTGGAGCTCTTGATAATGTTTGAAAAGGCACTTGGCTGTCTACCTATACACACAGGGGTATCAATTTGGCCTTTTCAAAATACAGAATTAAAACCTGCATCATGGTCTAATTATGTTTCTGCTGTCAGGAAATGAGTTAGCAAGTGTAGGTCGATAGATGTGTCTGCAGCAGCTCAGTCATTTGATGTGCTGCCTTCTGTGGTTAACATGATGATGTTTCCTACTTGCATGCATATGAGTATATTCAGCAGAACTCAAATTCTCTGTAATTAATGTTCTGCGTTGTGGTATTTTTGAAACCTGTCGTGTGAAGACCTCAGATTACCTTGAGACTTCAAAGGCTGTGAAGTGATAGCCACAGTCAACAGAGATGCAGCATGGTTAATATTATTGTTGGTTACTATTAAAGCCCTGTCTTTAGTACTTTTAAAAAAAAAAAAAAAAACATTTGTATTTGGTTCAGTAGAGAGATTAGATGTGTTTAGTGCTCTTTCAGAGGCTGTCTCATCCTATGAAATGGATTGCAGCTATTTTTGGGAAGCAAATGTATTACTCTGAAAACTTTGAATTTAAAATTCTGGGAGAAACATCGGAGAGACGCCCCGCAGTTCTAGATGCACCAGCTCCAGACCCACAGTGTTAGATGTACGGCAAGAGTCCTTTAAGGAATAGGGCAGTGTGTAGTGAGTGTGTGGTTGAATGAGTTGTCTAGTAGCAGTAAATATTCAGTGTAGGTTACAGTTTGCACATAAACAAACACTGCAGCTCCTTAGTGCCTTGCAGCCCAGCTGCTGGGTAAAAGTAAAGGGGGTTAACTCCAAAGTCAGCATCGACTTCGGCCCTGGAGTAAAACAGATTCTCTGTTGTGCTCCCCGACCACAGTCGCTGCAGCAAGAATGGTTAACACTGTGTTGAGCCATGTAGAGAGAGGTAGAGGTTAACTCTCTCTCAATGGTGCTGGTTATACCTAATGAGGTATCAGCTTATTTGGGTTTTCATGTTAATGTTTTGATAGACCAACGCAGTGGTTAACGTATCATAAATCATGTGCTACCAGTGGAAAAGTTAGTCTGGAACCATGATAAACCAGGCAGTGTTTGCATCTAACATTGGGCTCTTTTGTAATACACTGTGATTAAAATTATATTTTATTATTATTAGTCTCTTTAAGATTTAAGAAACAAAACTGTTGTACATCTCTTGTTGTAGCCACATGTGTTCAGCACGCTTCAGTGTTGTCTTCATGCCGTGACCTGTCTACAGTGTTTGCTTGGTATGCTGAGTACAGCCAACCATGGATAGATGGATATTGAGCCCACTGTTATCTAACAGTTAGATGGAAACTAAAATCCCAATGCACAATAATACAAAATTGATTGTACAGCTCTGCATTGACACATCTACTTTTTCATGGTCGGTCAGCAGTGACTGACCTCATTTCAGTTCTCTTTTATGTGCTGCCTTTCCCTTTCTGCTTCCTCTCTTTTCTTGCTGCATAAGCCAGATATTGTTTTTTTTAGTTGTTGTTTTATTATAAAAGAGAAGTGTTTGTAAGTTGTTTAAGGCCCACCCTTAATGACCCAAGCTGAAAATTAATGTTAATTAAAAACGTTAATATAACACAGATTTGGGGATTCAGCCAATGTTTAATTGTATTTGACTGTATTTGCACCATGTTCAAATGTGGCATCACTTCACTGTTTTACAGGTACGGCATCGAGCTTCAGACCAAGTTATGGCTCTGAAGATGAACAAGCTCAGCAGCAACAGAGCTAACATGTTGAGAGAGGTCCAACTGATGAACCGGCTTTCCCATCCAAGCATACTCAGGTTGGTAACCGAAAAATGGACTGACTTACTGTATCCTTGGGGTTACTAAAAAATGTTCTTCTGGCATTGTGTGTCATTGTGTTCATAATTCCATCTCATTTTTTAACTGAAAGAACACTTAGAAACCAACTTTAAAGCCAAATTTCGTGATTATTTTCCACTCTGTTGTTCTAGTTGATTATTGAATTATAATGTAACACCCCGCTACTTTGTAAAGAAACTGATTATTAGTAGTGATTTCCGTTCAGCATGTTTAAGGGTCTAATCCAGAAGGCCTGTTATGTGTCAGTTCATTTTAAGAGATTCAATAATAAGATGGCGGTAATAATCTGGAATGAGCTTTCTTTCATAAATTCACAGTAGGCTTATTTTAAGGCTTAAGAGTTTAGGTCACTCAGTAACTGCTAATAATGAATACAGAGTAAATCCTCATTATGTCCACACAAATTATGTTACACATTATATTAATCATTTCTTATAACACCTGCAACTTTTGGTTATTAAAGATATATATATATATCATGTTGCTATCTGCCTCTACATCTCTCTTCTCTCACTTGCTCACTTGAGTCTGTGGTTGTGACCTGTTTCCTTTGAGGTTGGTTAGAAACTGTGTCAAACACAGAGCCTATTAACAATGGATTTACTAAACTGCCAGCTCCTGTTAGAGCTGCAGCAGCTGCCTAGAGGCGAAAAGCGAGGAGGACCCTTTCTGTCACAAGGGAACAGGACATGGCTATGAACAATCAGGTTAATATTTTAGAGATTCCGGTCAATGATTGGTCAGACAAAATGGTGCGAAAGCATGACAGTGTGTGAACCCCTAACACCTGACTCTGTGCTCCTGAAGCAACATTTTGTGTTTCCCTCTGTGTCACTTTGACTTAACAGACAGCAGACCATGAACAGCAGACTGTTTTTAGAGGAGCTGTACAATATCAACTGTTTTTGTGAGCTGGCCGGTCGCAGCTGATTGGCTTTTCCACCTCAACGCCCAAAACACAAGCTGTCTAATCTTTGCTCAAACAAAATATGCCAAACACCTGAACCAGTAGAACATGCAACAGTGTGTATCTATTATTATTTTTCATAAGCTGTGACTGTTATAAACAAAATGGTGCTTGTCATCACCGTCATCAGTAAGTAATTGAGAAAAGACCATTAGACAACTTTATCACCTTCAAATCGCCGCCACCAGATTCTTATCAAGAACTGAGAACTGGCTGCTAGTTATTTATAGAATAAATATGTTCTCCTGTGGCTTTAATTGATTATTTTCTTTCTGTCCTTTATGAAATTTAGGGCAATGTATCACTGCGTCATGTGTCATTGCACTAATTCTATGTATTTATTGATTTTATTTTCAATTTTCTGTTGTGTTTTTTAATGCACTTCTTCCCCTCCTATAAAGCACTTTGAACTGCCTTTGTATTTAAAAGGTGCTGTACGAATAAACTCGTCTTGCTTTGCATTTTATGTCAGGAAAAGGAAAAGTCATTAGAAATATATAAAACTTTATAGCAACGAGAATTCAAATCCATGCAATTTAATTTACATAGCGATGTGCAAAAGTGGTATTGTTGTTCATTTTTTGTTGTAAACACTCAAGTCAAGTTCACATTCTGTTCTGGGCTCCTGAGTGGGAGAGTGTGTTCATGAACATGCACATACATGCATAAATGTCTGTGTGCGTACTTGTATACACACACACACACACACTTGCACAGTATCTTTTACAATGCCATCTTTGTTGAGCATGCCTAGTGGATTGTGTGAGTGTGTCTGTGTGTTAACAAGCAGACACTGAGGGGGTCATTGTTCACTAAAATCCACCAAGGACCCACAAAGTTGACCTTTTCATTGCCTTCAGAATTATGAGGCTTTCAAGGCTGCTCGTGAACAAAGTTGGTTCATGTGTTGTTCTGCACACACACATTGTTTTGCTTTAGTTGAAGGGGTGCCTGGCCCCTCCTGGGTTAAGGATGTTTTTCAACCTCTTGGGCTCTTGGGATTCTTAAAAACCCATCAAAATGTAAAAAAAAAAACATTGTTATCACGATAAAAATCAAGTTTTGCTCAATTGCTGTTGCTAAAAAAATGATCGCTTGGGGATGGAAACACACAACGTGAAGGAGCAGTGTGTAAGGATCTGTTTGAGTATTAAGAATGTAGAAATTGATAGGTAGAGGACGAAATGGATGGAATGCAGGTGAAGCAACTGAGCTGTTATTATCCTCCTGTTAGCAGACGGTTTCGCAGTAATCACTTGTCTGGTCTTGCCTGCTGGAATCTTAATCTTTTCTTAACTATTCTTCCTGCTTTCTCTGTTTACTCACAACAGAGGAAGGAGTCATCCAAGTGTTTCGTTTGTTGATATTGATATTATCATAATTTATATGAGCCTGTAGAGCAAGTCCTTCAGCTAAGAGAAACTAAACTTTTTTTAACTGGAGGTTAAGTCACGATCTAAGTTAAGCGTGTCAGCCTCAATGCACTGATTTCATTTATTCTTATTCGGGAAGTCAACGGTTGTGCAGTCTATATGTTAATTCGCATACACTCTCCGCTAATGGGTTTGCTAGCTAGCAGTCAGAGGTAGAAAATGATATCACAACTACGTGTCACTTTGTCAGTGCTGGCTGGGAGATAACGTACAGTTCAGTGTGCTCTTCACTCACACTGTTTCCGTCCAGAACACATCAGACAACCTTGCCGAGAAGCTGACTAGTGCGGTGGGGCCTCAACAGGCGCGTGTCGGCCTTTGTTTTGTTCTTAAATAATAGCCGATTAGTTACAGGTCGGGGTTTCGAAAGCAACTTGCAATTAACCAAAACTGACATCCCTGATTCCAATAACATTCTAACAAATGTCCTTGTTAAAACACGACATTATGGGAACTTAATCTTGCTTGTCTTTTGTGATTTTACAGGTTCAAGGGAGTGTGTGTCCATGAGGGCCAGCTTCACGCACTGACAGAGGTTAGGAAAACGCACACAAATGCATTTTTCACATTATATTATTATTATAGTGTACAAGCCAATCATATGTGAGATTGTATTGCACTGGTGCGCCTATGTCCTAGCACTTGTTGTGCGCATGTTTGTATCGACTATGTTCCTACTCTTTCCTACAGGTGAACATCACGTCATCCATAAACACAACATAGAAGCACACTAGTCTGTAATTGTGGAAAACCAAGAGAACTGAATGTTCTTACGTGTACATAACACTTAGGCTTGTGTGTGTGTGTGTGTGTGTGTGTGTGTGTGTTTGAGATTAAGAAAGAGGGAGGGAGAATTTGATACAGACAGCTAATGAAATCCTCCAGAGATTCTTAATGTCAGGGCATACACCATTAGGGTTACAGTGAGTAATATTTTCTGGGGTGCATAAAGCCTATATTTAACCGGTGTATGTTCATCTGTTTGTGTGTGCGATAGAGAGAGAAAGAGAGAGAAAGAAAGGAACAGATAACTTTGTGTTAATCATTTATTATTCACAGAAAATGCTTGATAAGCAGTTGATAAATTTGGCTACTTATTACAAAGTTATTTGTACAGAAGGTTAGGGCTAATTATCTTTAATTGGTAGAAAAATGAGAGTTATAAAGGGTAAATATAACCTGAAACCTAATTAATATACGTTAACATCTCTTTCTACACTTACACACTTACTTTTTGGAAAAACACAAAAATATTCTTCTGTAAATATTCTTTAGTTTACATTTAGAACCATTTGCAGGGTATCATTTATTTATCAGGACATTAGAAACATTTCTAAATGATGAATTCTAGAGGATTTTTCTGAAATAAAGAAGAATTTCTGGTATAGCGATTAATTGATAGGTTAATGCTAAATGTCTTGAATAATGGTAAACCTATATTTGTTTGAGTTTTGGACTGTTAGTCAGGCAAAAAAAGCAGTAGGAAGATGTCACCTTGGAAAATTGTAATGGGTCTTTAATTTATTATTTTCTCTCTCAAGCTTTATGGACTAAAAGATGAATTAAAAAAATAAGCGGCGGATAATTTGAGTCATCGCTAGTTGAAGCTCTGATTTCTTGCTATGTTCCCTTGTTGTTGATGCACAAATTCTACTTATTCAAGAATGGAAACATCAGTGTATTAGTTTGATGTCCTTTGGTCATCGTGTTCACAAACAAACATTCACAAAAACACACATTCATGGCAGATGCACACATGTAAATGTAGGCCTACATACATTCACACACATACACTTCAACAGTTGCGCAATAGTCGCTTAAAATACATCTACATCTATTTGTAATTAAATACACATTCAATGGGCAAATATATGTAAATGTGGACAAATAGTACAAAACACACGATTCATCCGACTCTGAAGAAAGCATACACTGTTAAAGAAGCTTCCAGGCGCACACATGTACTTGATTACATTGCATTGCACACTGAATGTGCTTATTGTAGCCTCGACAAACAAAGACAAACACTAGCTTTCTGGAGTTGCGTAAGAGAACACATCTAAATTTACACACACACACACACACTTCTTACTGTACTGTACTCGATAAGCGAATCCATGCATTGTAAGGCTCATGAATATACTTGTGTGCACACTGCGGTAGGTCTTGTATACCTGCTGCAGGGTAAACAGATCCTGTTGTGCCGTGTCAGGACCAAACTGAATGCTCTAACCCTGGTAGCAGGCTCCTGCTGTTTTGTTACCTGACCCCCACTATGAGGCCGTGTTTAGAGGAAATGGAGAATTAAGTTACTCCATGGCCCCAAGCTACCTCAAGAAACTCACTGTCTCTCACGCACAGACACATGCCAACCCACAAAACACTGCAAAATAAACACAAAAAAGGCAAAAACTGCTTCAAGTACTTTGCTCCTCAACACTGAGTAGATGAGACTGATAATGGGGGTTTGTAAAAAGTATTTTTAAGCCTAAATTAATTTCCTAAATGTTCCTAAAAGCTTGTTGTGTATTCTCACAGAGCTGAACAAACAACATATTTGACATGTAAAATCTAGTAGTGTGTTGTAGTATGAGAATCTAGCCTTTAAAGACTGGAAGATGTAGAGAATAAACTAAAGCAGTGGTTCACAAACTTGTTTAGACTTGGCGCCCCTTCAAGCCACGCCACCCCCAATATAACATGCATAAATATGTAAACAGATACTGAACAGGCCATCTCACACATATATGATGTTGTTAATGCGCCTAAGTGAACGTGCATTGGACACTGATAGATAACTATCTTACACCAGCCAGTCAAAACCTGTCCATTAAGCCGCTAGCTGTTAATAGCATTGGGTCTGACTTTCGTTTGGTTGGTAGGCAGATTCAGTCCTGTCAGGACTGTGTTGTAGGCTGAGATGAATCAGCTTCTCTTTACCGTGTCATATTTTTACATTGCGTGCTCTGACAATCCATTTTTCTGACTGCTGACTTCCCGAAAAGCTCCTGAGCCAAAAACTGTGTTGTGTTACTGTGGCTCCGTTTAGACCTGGCATTAACATGCGTCTTGGGTGATCCGATCACAAGTGGACAGCTCTAGTACGTCAGTTCACACATCTCCAGATGCATCTCGAGTGACCACTTGTGATCGTACCGGTCTTCCCCGCTCTATCTGCAAATAAACACTCACATCATTTCTGCTTGCGAAGACCAAATGCATTGGTGTGTTTTAAGCGGCGGCCCAACAGTAGTTGACAAATTGACATGATGTTTCTTACACAAAGAAAAGAAAAATAACCTAATATATAACATTTGCTGACTTCACAAGAAGACACTAATAATTAAGAATTTGATATAGACAGCGTTTACAAACTTTATAAAGTTTGTCTTAACTCAACAACTCACAAAATTGTGTGACACAGACAACAAAGTAGCCTATATTTGTTACCATTTACTGTCTTTGTAAAAATTTGACGTTTACCATCAATAAAATGTCTTCTTTCATAAATTCTGTGTAAATTGTGAAATCACGTGAAACACCTAGCTGCTAAATGCTGGCACTTTAGACACGGAGTAGCTATAGCTGTGACACCAAAGCCACGACAAACTGATGTTATCTACGAGGAAAGAAGCCTCTTAATGTTTTGAATTTAAAGCTAATTTCACAAGACGGCACAAATGATTAAGAAGTTTCTCCTCACTCATCAACTCTCAAAATTTTGTCTGGGGATATTGCGGTTACCAGTTGTTAATGGTGAAATAATTCGAAGCAGACAGTGTGTTCACTGTTCACAAACATATGCTGCTTATCTTTGTAGGTGATAGAGCCCAAACACGTAGTTTGCATTACAGTGAAACAAATGGAAATCAGACAGCGTGTTGCGTGTGTACTTACAGGACGTCAGTTGAGTAGGCGGTCCTTCAGGGTGGCCCAGAACACGTTCATGTACACACTGCTAAAAGAATGTGGTCATATGCAGTCCAGACCACCATTGAATGTGGTCTGAGCCATTGGATCTTAATGTGTCCTGAATGTGTCTTAGGTGCATTCAGACCTGCACTGTTACACCTATCCAGTTGTGATCGATCACCCAAGATGTAGGTTAATGTCAGGTGTAAACAGGGCCAAAGACAGCTGGCCACTGAGAGTTGTCATGTCATTGGCTGTGACATAAGAAACTGTTTTTAATACAGTGATTTTGATATGTTAATTGAAACGGTGAAACGAGGTGATCAATTTTGCGGGACCCATTTTTGGGAACCTTCGATATATAGCACCAAACCTTGTTCAGTCTCCTATTGCACCTTATAGGAAATGCTTCTGCAATCATAATCTGGGCTATTGGTAAATCATGACCCATGGCAGGATTATACTGCTGTTTGGAGCTGCTCCCAGCAGCAAACAAGGATTCTTTTGTTTGAGTCTTTCCAGGCTTTTTAACCAGAAAAACATAGCAATTTCCACAACAGTTGTAGCCGTATGTTTCTCATTTCCTTAGCACTCTACGGTATACATGATTATGGCGAGGCACATATATGTCTCAAACAAGTGCTGTGTCATGTAATTACTGTGGTATATCAGTAACTCGACAAATAGGATAAAGCAGATTCCAGGGAAAATACCATGCGTGAATAAGAGGCTTTTTTGAATGCGATTTTACATCTATTCATTTAATTTTAGTTGATACAGCAGGTGCACTCTTCCGCTAAACCATGTAATTTACATTTTATACCAGACGCACTTTGCATTGCTGCATATTATGTGAGCATGAGAATAACACGGGGAGCTGTCTAGATGTTAAATGAGATGATAAAGAAGGGAAGTTGGATTAGTCTGAGTTTTACTTGTCTCCAGTGGAGTTTTCCCTGTTTTATCCCTTGCCCCCCAGACCTCAACCAGGCAGACAACAGATGTTGAGTTCTGTGGCTACTGAGGAATTTGTTGGACAAATACTGTAATCCTCTGACGTCTTGAATTAGGTCGTATGAGTGTGTCAGAACATTTGATGGTATAGGACTGCAGGGACCTCAACCTTTTGGGGGTGGGCGTTAAAGCATTGTTTATCTTGTATTTTGTGGGTCCTTAGACCTTTTTGGCATTTGAAATTGCCCCCTCTAGGACAATAAAGACTATCCAATCCAAAGTAATAGCAGTAAATCATTGTGCCAGTACCTCCCGAGCTCTAATAGACGATTTTGTCTGGACTGGTGATTAGCAGTGATATTTTGAATGTATGTTTCACTATACTATACTCCTGATCTTCGTCATTCTGGTTTATTGCTGTATACCACTGACATATTTCTTTAGAAGATTTGTTATCATAGAGATATTTACTGTAGCTGTAACAAACTAGCTCGTATAGGTCCCTCCAAAATATACTGGTGATATACCGGCATCGACTTTTGAGTTAACTGTGTCACAATTACCACAAAGCCAGTTATACACGTTTATTTTCTATTTCTTATACTTAAAATTGTAGAAGGATGCCGTCTTTTAGATGCTACTGATTGCAAAACCCAGTCCCCACAGTATTATTAGTATTAGTATCTTGTGGTTCTATTGTCCTGAACCATCACAGGACTTACGATTTACGTGGTCAAGAGAGATGTAGTGACTGGGGACATGGATTTGCATTCAGCTGGAAAAGTCACGCACAGCTTAGGAGACCAACAGTTGTAGGAAGGCAGCTCATTGAGTTGATACAACTCTGTCTGATATTATAATTGTCTTTGTCAGGTGACATTTTTACAAGACTCGTTCAAGACATGCATTCAGTTTTACATTTATTGTAAAATTATGCTAAAATAAGATAAGAAAAATAGATTTAATCTCTCCAGAAACCCCGTTTATTTAATCGTGTGAAGATGTCGAGACCCCCTCCCCTCACCAGCAGTTCCCTATGTCCTAATTCGGTGCCTGTCAGCCATACCAATAACCACAGCTAAACCAGACCATCTCTTTATCCCATCTCAGCTCTTATCTAGTTAACCAGCGTTGCTCGTGATATGTGACATGGGATTAGTGTGTCCGTGTGTTTGCATGCAAGCAGCAAGGTCAGGCAGGTTCTTCTGGATCAAAGCTGACAGAGTGAGGGACCCTGGATACTTTTAAACCCACTGAGCTGATTTGTCCTCTTGGCTGCCCACCCGTCAGCTTGCACGATGGTCAGACGGTCCACATTCATGCATGGAGGAAACTAGCAGTTCTATCAGCCATTTGAACAGGCTGCCAGCCTGATTTTATTCAGCCAGTTGGTCGATACACCAGCCAGCCCCCAGGCTGGCCGTCTGTAACCCAAACAACCCACCAATCAGTCATCCACTCTGTGAACCAGCTGGATAGGCAGTTCTGTAATTTAGTTTTATCCTTTTTGTAGTGTAAGTGTTAAAGACATGGTAAGTCAGTCAGTAAGTACATCAATTCACCAGTACATTTTAAAGCCAGTTAACAGTCTGTTGTTTCCGTCACTAGCAACAGAAAGTGTTACATGGCTATGATAAGAGTATTCACACTAACTGAGTTAAGGCATCTCACATTTGATTCCTGTGAAAAGTTGTTTGACATCTCAGCTCACTCATACAATGACCATTATGCAGCCAAACAAAACCATTTTTCTATTCAGAGCCTAGCAATGTAATTCCTGGACCTTGATGAAGAACATTTAATGTCAGTTATTGTTTGACAAATAATGTCCTTTTAATTTCTCCAGTCCGTATGATCTGTCGGTGTTTTGTTGATATTTAACCACTCTTTTATTTCTGTCTCTCTCTTTGTCTTTCTTCAGTACATCAATGGTGGAAACCTAGAGCAGCTCCTAGACAGCAACAAACACCTGAGCTGGCCCACGAGGGTGAAACTGGCCTGTGAAATCGCCAGTGGTCTGGCCTACTTGCACTCCAAAGGCATATTCCACCGGGACCTCACCTCCAAGGTTAGCTAGACGGGCTAATTGGTTGTTAACAGGAGAAACCACAGCTAAAAATAAAACTGCAGGCCCTCCTGTGGCCTCAGTACAGCAAAGTAACATTTCCTGTAGAATTATTAGTTTTTAATTTGTGTGTTTCTGTTGTCCAGCAGTTTCGTGGCCTAGGTCTTTTGTACTGTACTATAGCGTAGTTATGTTAAAATATTAGCTGGTTGTGACAGCAGTATCAGTGTTTGGTCCCAGGCTTCTGTACATAAGACTTGTGTTAAGTGTTCATTACAAATGTTAAATATATTGTTATATATCTTGACACACTTATCCTCTCTTTCACTCCTGGGCCTATTAACCTCTCTGTAAAGAACACAGTGTCACAGTCAGATGTGATAATCTGTACCAGGCAGCTTCTAGTTTTCCAACTTGACCCAGAGCCATGTTGGCATGGAACTGGCAGGGAACAGGGACAGTATGCACTCTGCTATAAACTCATATTCATTGCCTGTCTAATAGTTGTAGAATAATAATTATAAAAAGTGCACAGAGAAATTTAAGTGAAGTTGAAGCCTTGCAGATTTTAGTTCCTCAAATGAAGTCAATTTGCTTATGACACATATGTCAGTCATGGAACTAGACGAAGTGACATATATATTAAATAATGTAATATACTTATTCCAAGCACTCTCCCTATATACTTGTCGATATACCCTGCCATTATGAAGGAGTAGGTTATAATAGGTTATAAATTCAAGTACAAGAAATTACCAGGAATAAGGGTGACATTTAAGCCGAACATACAGTACATTTTACTAAGTAGTGCCAAATGTTACAAGAACTAAAGGGCAAGGTGGCAGTGTAAGACTAACCATTAAAGGTACTTAACACACTGAATATGTACTGTACATTAATGTACACTAAAGCAGTAGTACAGCATGCTACTGAAGGAAGCATAGTGAGAGTCTTGTGCACTGGATTCATGTATCAGGTATGCTAAGTAGAATAGGTATAAATAAATTGTGAGGATATAGAACATTAACGTTCAGCACAACTCAGTATCTGTCGCTGCTAAATGTGGGGTTGCACAGGGTTGTGCAAATGATGTCAGCAGCGCACGTTTTGTACAGTGTAATTATAGAACTGCTCGGGTGATTTTAATGACTATTCTAACAAATGGTAGTGGGTTTACACATAGTTCCTTTTAGAGTGAAGAGGAAGAGTCCCAACCTCATAGCAGTGCATATTGAAATGTCCTGTTAGTTCTCATTTTCTGTTGTACAGACTATACTGTACAGAGACTATACAGTAGAATATTATTGAAAGCTTGACTTCAATCAGGAAGTGGAAGTACCGCCGCAAAATGTTTTTTTTTAATCTCTCAGTGTCAGGGTCACAACTTCCTCAACTTAACGTGTGTCATAATTATGATAATGTTTTTATGTGTTTTTACAGAACTGCCTGATCAAATGTGACGAGAACGGCTACTCAGCAGTGGTGGGAGACTTTGGCCTGGCAGAAAAAATCCCCACCAATGCGTAAGAAGTTCTTCAATGATTACTCCTCTCCATAAATATACCCAGTCCTAGATCTTTATCAGTTATTAATGAACGACCAAGACTTCGAAGAAAAAAGAAACTCATTTCTTTTCCTCTTAACTTCCTTTTTCTTACTTAAATAATGCATGAATCAATACTTTTGCAGTTCTCGATGCAGCAGTTCCAGACCCACAGTTTTAGATGTGCGCATGTATAAGTTTGAACGACAGTTTACTGTAATAAGTTGTGTGTGCAGTAGGTGTGTGGTTGAGGTAAGAGATCAAATGGCAGAAAGTGAAGGTGAATGCAAGCGGAGCAAAGGAAAAGGTTAGCAGTGTCGGTAAATGTACAGTGTAGGTTACAGATGAGAAACACTGAACGGGGTTAGCCCCAAAGTCAGCATCAAGTTCGGCCCTGGAGGAACTGCAGCTGGACGTTATACCTAGACCTATGAAGAAAGATAACCCTGTCTCAACGCCACTGGTCATACCTAACGAGGAATCCTCCAATTTAAGTTTTAATGTTAATGTTTTCCGCCCAGTCAGTGGTTAACGAATATCCTTTCTAACGCCCTGGGAACCAGATGTAACGTGGAGTGGTTGGCTAGCTTCAGCGTGAATTCATGGATTTTATCAATAGTAATGATAAAGTGATAAGGTACGAGTACTCTGTGGTTGAGTCTCAGCTGTTCTCATCAACCTTTCTGGGCCCATAGGTTGTACACTAGCTGGTGGACAAAGTTGAGCTTTTAACAGTTGAAAGCCTCAGATATTTTTGGATGTTTGCAATAACTACTAGCTGTGTACTTTTTAGCTTGTTTTGAGGTTTTATCTGCCCCCTAGTGGCCAAACATTAATTATTGCAGCTTTAAAGCTTTATCAGGCTCCATCAGCAAAACCTTGTGGTCATTTTTTTCAACCCCAAAACAAAAATATTTGTCTCTGAAGGCTACATGGTAGCTCCATTCACACTTTTTAAACCTGTCAAGACTGGTGCAACTTATTTTAAATAACCATAATAAGAGAAAATGTCAGGCCAGAAAATGTTTATTCCAGCATGTGATCATCATTTTGTCCATGTCTGCTCTCCACTGCAATGTTTTTTTCTTGTAACAGCTATTTCCAGCTCACTAAAGTGTGTTGCTTCTCTTCATACCAGGCGCAGGGTTATTTATTAACAGCAGGCTGTATAGTTCACATTCTAAACTATAGTGTTCTGATAACAGGAGGACATTATCAGCACAGGGCTGGGTTTTTAATGCTGTAGTAGCTTGACAAAGGAGGGGAATGTCTACAATCTTGTACATCTGTGCACGTGTATGTGGGTATGTAAACATGCATGAATAATGCACAGAATGTCGCCACACCTGTAATTTCTTACTAAGCGAGAAGGTGCGGCCCGACTTCACCCGGACTAAATCCAAACAGAGCAAAAGTTGCTGAATTTAAAGGATTAGAGAGCAAGTTTCATTATACAGGCAGTCTGAAATCTTTATAACTGATTGTGAGGTAAGAGGGCAATCATTCACGGTGTGGTACAATTTTAAAACTGCAATTATGTGTTAAGTAGAGAGTACACCACACACAGAACAGTTAGGTAATGCTGAGTGAAAAAGCCAGAGTCGAGTGGGCTTTTCATATTTGCATGTTTGCACTTATGTTCTGTATCACTCCCACAAATGCACTCAAACTTACTGCTAATACCTCAACATAAATGCAATAGCAGGCGGGTAAAACTCTCCAGTCTTTATTTAAACACAACAGGAGCATGGTCAGGTCGGGCTTTTCTTGCTGGTGGTGATTGTTTAATTAAAACCAACTTTTCATCAGCTTGATACATTTACTGCATGATTTCATTACATTATTCAACCAGGAACACACACTTCAGGAGTCACCTTAAACGCCCCCGAAGGTTCTTGAATTATCTGCCACAGATGACTTCCTCATTATAATCAACCAAATACATTAACATGTTGTACATAACCTTTGTCAAACCTTGTGTGTTTGTTACTGTGTGTTTAGTGCTGAACGAGAGAAGCTTTCAGTCGTCGGTTCTCCTTTCTGGATGGCTCCAGAGGTGCTGAGAGATGAACTCTACAATGAGAAGGTGAAGTCAGCAACTATAAATAAACTTACATAAGATTACGTTAGATAGGTGTTTATTAAATAGAGAGATAGATATAGATGAAAGCAAAACATTTGCAAAACACACACAGGTGTTGTCAGTGTTTCACTGTACAATAAACCAGGCAGTTCATCATTTTTTAACCAAAATATATATATATGTGTGTGTCTGTCTGTTTTCAGGCCGACGTATTCTCCTATGGTATAATCCTGTGTGAGATCATTGCAAGGGTCCAGGCCGACCCTGACTTCCTTCCCCGCACAGAGGTGACTGCTCATCTGCTTCTCTCCTATTTTCCACCCTCTAAATATGCAAAGAAAGGACTTGAAAGGTTTATTTTAAGTAAACCAAATTAAGTGTTGTTTGTCTTAAACACAGACACAGATGGATTCAGCTGTTTATGCAGGAGGGGGTGGGTTGGTCTTAATTTTAGTTCTAAAAATATTCTCTCTAGGTCTCACTGAAAGATTTACCTTTAGAGACCTTTTTTTCTATCGCACAGCCTGTGCCATTTAACGTTTCCTTGGACTGATGGAGCCAAACTTGCTTGCAAACTTGGCAGTCAGCGGGACTGTGTCAGAGGGATTAGTGTGACATGAAGCTGGTTTTTGGCAGAAGAGTACATTATGTCAAACATCTGATGAAGCTCTGTCCGTCTCTGTCTTTATCCCACTTTAAGGAGAGTAAATACGAATTTCCTGTTTAACTTTCATGCATCCAAAATCTCTTTGTCACTCTGTCTTCTCTCCTCCTCCTGACCAGAACTTCGGCCTGGACTATCACACGTTCCAGCACATGGTTGGAGACTGTCCGCCTGACTTCCTCCAGCTGGCTTTCAACTGCTGCAACGTGAGTCCACCACACTACACTGTCCAATCAGTGTGCAGTCTCCCATCAATAAAGATATTACAGGCTTGTAATGATCCCCTGTCCACTTTTGATAGAGCTGGAAAGAAAACAGCAGCAGTCAGTATCTGCTAAATTTAGTACACCGTGGTCATAGTTTGTCATGTTAAACTTTCCCAAATGACTTATGTTGGTTGTTTCCACAGTTGTATCTTTAATTTCCTAAGTAACTATTATTCCCTGGTTCAGAAATTGAGGGGTAATCTGATCATCTGAATAATCAGATTACTGTCCAGGGGGTCTTCATGTTCACTAAGAGCTGGATCAGTTCAGCTTTTCTCAATATTCAAACTTTGATTTGTTGTTACATTTAGAAACTGTTAGAATGAGGAGGAATATTTAGTAAATCAAAACATATCAAGTATACCTTTTTTTTATGAGATTTTGCCAGTTTAGTTTTGCTCACATCATATCATAATCACTGAACTGGAATTGTTGTGACATAATTTCTAACCACATGGGCATTACAGATTTTGGAGCACCCTGCTGATTGATCCTGTATCCCTTCTCATCCTTGTCTGTTGTCTTGCTTTTTTATCATCCTTGTCCCCTTTATCCCCCATCCAGATCTTTTCCCAGAGCCCCCCAGTGTCATTTCATTTTCATAAAAGGGGGTTTTACGGTTTCTTTCAAGCATCTTATTTCAAGCCTCTTGTACTTCCTGTCAGCTATACATGTTGTTTTTCTCTGCCAGTCTCAGTCTCTCTGTCATATACCTTTTTTTCCCCATTCCACAAAGTCTATCTACCCCTCTTTATTCCTCACAATTTGCTTTCCCCTTCCTTCATCTTCAACTTCAGCCCCTAATAGTTCCTCACGTTTAAATATTTTCAATAACGATGCTTTATGTGACATCTTTAACATTAGCAAATTATAGTTGTTGGAAAGAATACTCAAATAATATATTTCCATAAACATATGAAAATGTAACTGACACACTTGGCAGCCTCAGTTGTTATTGCTTGTGCATAGAGGACCTTTTCTTCTTCTGCATTCAGACATGTTGGGGGATTTTTTTCCACAGGCTTTTCTTTTGTACCACTTTATGCTAAGAAACTGCACGTTTTCAAAATAAAGTGCCATTAAAGGTCATAAAGCAATCCCCCTTTGTGCCATAAAACAATATAGGAAAACCAACTTGTAAAACACAGTGTAAATGCTTGCAGAGGCACCAACTCTGGTCTTGTTTGCCTTTGTAAATTATTATAATGTTATAATAATATTTTAAATGTTTAAATTCTACATGTAGTACCTTAAAATGGAAACTAATCCAGTTGGTGTATGTTTCCCTTTTCGCTTTTCTCCATATCTCCCATTTTCCTTCTCCCCCCAGATGGACCCTAAACTCCGTCCATCCTTCCCAGACAACGTCAGGAACCTCGAGGAGATTCTTGCACGCCTTAAGGTTGAAGAGATGCAGCACGAGTGTGTACCACTCAGCGGGGACAATGACAAGAAGAGCATACCCAAAGGTAAAAGCAGTGCACAGAATCTGTGATGCCGTGATCACTTCAGCTTTAGCTTTACAGTCAATAAAAGTCACCTCCTTTTGTTTACATGAAGATCCCTGCCAATCCAAGCAAGGCAACCAACACCTATTTTATGTCCTTCACCTTGCCTCTCCAGCCTTTCACCCCCTCTTTAACACTGCATACAGGCTCTGCTTGTACTCTTGTACGATCCAGTCGAGTCAGTGTGGAGCCTCACACAAACTTCCCTCCTCTCCTAACACCAGTTCCTCTTAAAGGGCACACTGTTAATTCCATGTTTGTCCAGTCAGTTACAAGAATACTGTTTACTTTGTCCTCGCCCAAACATACAGTCAGGTTTTGTTCGAGCTAGAGTTTTACCTCACTTCCTGTTTAGTCGAACAATGTGTTTGTCCGGAGAGTAATATAATAATACTATGTGTATCCCCTGTTCTGTGCAGCCCAGTAAGCTATTCAAGGTCAAAGTCAAATATGTTCTAACTTTTGTCTGAGTATCCGTATCACACTTCAAAGATACCACAGAGTACTTGGTCACCGATAATACAAACTCCGTGACTGACCTGTTTTGAGATACTTGATCTATGCAGGCCCAGGTTTCACTTCTAATTTGGTCCAGCATACAGCCGCCTGCATGTCTGACCATCACAGAGTCAGGAGGAGGCAGTAATGTTTTTGTTTAGACAAGCCAAACTATTCCTCTTCCTCAGGACTACAGTTTACAGAGAAGGTGAGCACGAACTTACGACATCACAGGATGCGGGAGTGATTCATACTGGTGACTGGCTCGGCTTCTTACATCTGGTGTTGGGTTGTTAATCTAGATGAAACAAGATTTAGAAAACACACTTCTGGTCCTGTTGACATGAGAAATATCTCTTATGTAGCTTTTGTTGTGTGGAAAATATGGCCTGGATCTGACAGTTCTCACTCCTCATCTACTGTAAGAGTACGCCATGAACTTCTTTTGCTCCCTCCCTCTCTGTCCCCCTCCTTCAGCTCCCTCTCTCTGTTTACCTGATAACATCAGCATTTCCACAAAACCAGGATCATCCTCATAGTAGGAAATATTTCTATTGCGTAACAACTTTTTTAACCAAATATTTTTGTGGAGTTGCTTTTTTTGGTCCTCTTGAGCGACGTGAGTAATTCTTTCAGATATTTCCTGGCATAAATGAGACGCATGATCCCTCAGAAGTGCAACGATATGTCTTATTTTATCCTCCTCTCTTGAGATTTGAGGGGATAAAATCAGATGTTTTCTTGGTTAGCTCATGTGTTTATGTGCATCATCTTTGGGATTCACAGATCTTTGTTAACTCGGGAATAGAAATGTTTATGTGCTTATATGAACAATCTCTTGATCAATTGCTGCAAAGTAAGACGTCTTTTTTATTTTTTTTTAGCCATCCTCAAATTATTTCTTTAATCCTAGTAGTTTTTCCTGCTTTACTAATTAAAGTTTATGAGAATATTAAGATCCAACCACAGAGGACATTTCTGTAAAACAAATCTCATCCCTGTTCTTCAAATGGAAATATTTGAAGAACAGGGATACCATTCAGTGAACTCAAGATTATGTTGTCTATGCTGGATTTAGCCTGTATTGCCATCTAGTGGTTACATGAGATTCTCTATTTTACCATCAGAGTACTATTAACAACATATAACATAACACATATATGACAACCTCCCCAAAAAGTGGAAGATACACCTCTTGACTCTAAACTTTTAAATTGTGTACATTTCATACAAAATGTGTCATAAAAGCAAATCTGTGTCTTTGTTTTAAAGGTGAGAAGATCCAGGGCTTCAAGCGACTGAACCCTCTCGGCTTCCAGGATGATAAAATCCCTCCGAAATCACCCCGCCCCCGTCGAAACATCTGGCTCAGCCGCAGCCAGTCGGACATCTTCTCCTGCAAACCAGGAAGAAAAGTCAACGTCCAGGACCCTTACTACAACCCCCCCATCGCTCAGCGAGCCTCTAAAGTCCGCAAGGTCAACCCGTTCACCGCCCGAGAGGACCTGTGCGGGGGCAAAATCAAGTTTTACGATGTGCCCAGCAAGTCCGTCTTCTCGCTGATGTTTGACCTCCACTCACCTCCAGGGAGTGCGTTCAGTAACCAGCCGTCCGCTCAGGGACCTGGAGGACCCCTACAGGAGGCTTACTACTGGCAACAGCTGCCAGGAAGACAGTGTCACTCCTTACCGGTGTCCCCCCAACTGCCCCGCTCCGAGATCTTCCACCTCGCTGCTGCTATTAGCTCCAATAACAACGGTTCTGTTACCTGTAACTCCAGCCAGCTCTCCACAACGCTGCCAGGTGAGTGGTCTGCGGGCGATGTCCTTTCAGTAATGTCCCACAGAGTCAATTATGATGTTGAGAAATTATAATTCTTACATTTTTTAGATTTATACTGTTAATATTTTGATCAACTGTTTTAATGTGACCAGAAAACCTCAGTACTCATTGGAAAAATAGTTGATCCTCATAACAGCTGCCCCACACAAAGACTTGTTACTTCAGGTGAAAGTTGGCAGTTCATGCCAGGGGTGACGATAATATGTCTTGGTTTGTTTACTGTTCACTGTTGACACTACCACCTCACCACACCCTGCTTCTGGTTTGGTAAAACTCCGACCTGCACCCTTATACCATCAAACATCCATTTTTGCATTTCCTTAGTGTATCAGCTCAGGGTTTTTCTCTCTAAAATCATGCAATTGTATACCTAGTTTGTTTTAGTTTTTTATATTAACCAAAATGTTTGAGTTTATACTTTGGCAGAGGTTAGATCAGTGGTTCTCAGACTGTGGGATGAGCCCCTCTGGTGGCGTGTAGAGCCACTGCAGGTGGGACACGGATGACATGGGGAAAAATATGGATTGGAACAAAGTTGAATGAATATGATTTATGTAGGGAAAATGAACACACAAGAGTTTAGTGATGTTATTGTGTTGAGCTTTTATTTGACTAAAATTCAGCTTTCATCCCCTTTTATTAGTTCCTCTATCATCGTTAATGAGGGATTGTACCAAATTAGATAATGGTTCCTGAATGTGTGTTTTTAACTTTTTCCTCTACCTGTCTGGTTCTCTTCTTGTCCTGTTTCCCTCTTTCCTCTTTTCCTCTTAGCAGCTAACTCCAGGTCTGACGCAGGCCTGATGGGAAATGACGTCCGACAGAAGGCAGCGCTGTGCGGCTGGGCGAAGAAATTCGTCGTGGTTGAGATCCCACCTTACTGCAGGCAGAGAGGAGGGGAGGAGGAGGATGGAGAGGTAGACGGGAGGAAGGAGGGAAACGAGGAGGATGAGTTTGGGGAGAGCTGGTCTCCGATGGTCCCCAGCAGTGAGAGAGACAGTGGAGAGGCCATGGACTGCTCCAGCAGCCTGGAGGAAGAGGCTGAACGACAGAGAGGGACAGACACCTCCCCCATGTAACACACATGTAAATCCACACACGCACACAAACATGGAAGAGGTGTTGGATTTGGACAGGAGGAGGGGGGGACTGTTACCCCTGGATTGTGGACATGGAGGCAGCCGGGAACTTGTTAAAAGTAGACTGACAGACTGGACACATTTCAAAAGATTTTGAGAGAATAAAACGTAAAAAAAAAAAGAAAAAGAAAAGAAAAATCACTTGATTTTTATCTTTCAGGTGAATGTATCACATGTTGATTAATAAATCAAGCACACCTGATGTTAAGAAATAACTATCTTTCAAAGATATTATCACCCAGGTGTGACAGGACAAGTCTCCATTTAGCACACAAAAAAAAGCTTTTATCAACACAATGGACACTCTGCATAGAGATTATTTTTTTGAAAAGGTTGTTTATATTTAATATTGTAAGATGATGTAGATTTTCTTTTTTCCTTTTTAAAGGTTTCTCATATTAGGTGTCTTTTGTCTATGACGAGGAGTATTGCCGATCCGTTGTGTTGTGTATGCAAGTGTTTAAAAATCAGCTTGTGTTTTGATACTTTTCCCTGTGTTCTTTGTTAGACAAATGTTTATACTAAATCACAAAAAAAATCCCATATTTTTCTGATCAACACACTGATATTCAGATGAGAATTGACTGATTTATAACTGAGTGCCTGAACCAGACTGCAGTGGTAAATTATTTAACACCAACAACTCCAACTAATTCACAGCGAACTCTGCCTGGCAACAGCAATAGTGGATTATAGAGAGGAGATGGTTGTAGTTCACAGTCTTTCTCTTTTATATTCAAGCTTAAGTAATAGCACGGCAGTTCGGTAGCTACTTCATAATATAGCGGTTATATCTGGTTTGGTCAGAGACACCAAATCAGCCACCACTCAACAGTCAAAGCAGAGCATTCATAGGCAGTGTTGTCCAGAACAAAGACTGTAGGCAGACATGGATGTTGTGGAAAAGGACCTTTTTTTGTATTTAAACGTTGCTGCTTGAAAGCCAATCTTCAAATCTCAGATGTAAGAGTTTACTTGAACGCACCACAAAATAGTCAAGAGTCATTTTGTTGATTTTTGCTCCCGTTAAGTGCACACACCTAAAATCATGATGACATTTGTCGGGGGTCTGAACCAAACAAACATGTTTTCTTGTTATCTGGAGGAGATTTATAGGCCGGGGAATCTCTGCAGCACTACAGTACTTCATTAAAATGCTGTCTTGACGCATTTTACCTTTACCAAAAGATTGCAGCTTCTGCGATCTGATTATTGCACTTGCCATATTGCAGTTTTGATACTATTTTGATTAACTGTGCAGCCCTACGTTAAAGCAACTCACTTCATCTTCAGAAATGAAACTCATGCTGTTCTGCTTGTTCTGTCGCTTTAAAGTCAAAACTGAAATATATACAAACAAGGGGATCCCTGAAGATTGGAAATCAGTCTTGATGAGCTGTAATGTAAATTATACATGAACTATATACAACAAAAGATAATTCACTGTCAAAATACTGCACGTACAGTATTTCCTGAAACAGTGTTATGAAATGACTTTGAAATGATTTTCATGTCTTCCAGAAAGTTGCTATGAGCTCATTGTTTCAGTGTGATGCTGGCGCTGAGATGACGCGAGGCTTTCCTGGTATGACTACGCAGTGCCATGCATGCTGTCTGCTGCCCTCATTTTGTACTGTCCCATAAGGGGAAGAGGAAGTTTAGCAATGATTTAAGTCAAATTTAAAAAAGTAAAACATACTCAGACAAAAACTAAACTTAATTTCCTTTTCAGACCGTCAATCCGAGTGTCTTAAAGAAGAAATAAACTGAGGAACTTAATTTAAAACGCAAAAGAGACTTCAGTTAATGGAATGACTCAGACGCAGCTTCAGTTGGACGAACAACCTTTTGATTTGAGAGAAACAGAACAACCTGCTCTTTCAGTTTTTTTTCATTCGGATGTGCCTGATGTTTAAAAAAAACATCAAAATGTCAAAAAAATATTTGTTCTATTACAAATTATTATTATTTAGTAAATGTATTTTGACTTTGGAGTAAATTCTAACTTCAGTTTTCTTTAAAAAGATGGTACAACTTAAGTTCAAGGGGTCAGACTATGCTTTAAATTCAATGTATGTTGTTTTTAATTGGAGCACAGGCTGAATGTCTCTGACACACTCCCTCATGTGGCTGCCACTAACATTTGGTTCAATTTGTCTCATTAAACTAAAGGTCTCATGACATTTTCTACTTTTATTAGCACACTTCAGATGTGAGTATTATTGAGTCTCATTGGGAAGGTTTGTTTAACATCCAAATGGTTTTCAGTGTTAGTCTGAATGACTGTTATAAGATCAGATTTATATTTGTTTCTCTGCTCCAGTACGTCATTGTGATGTTCTCAGTCCGATCACTTCAATAGGAACTAAAATGCACTTGTACAGCGATATATACAGTGATTTCCTCTGAACTTCTCTTCACTACCTGTCTATGCAACCAATGTAACTTTTATGACAGTGTTTTACAGTATAAAGGATCTAATTTGATATTTATGGGAAAACATTTTTAATGTCTTACATTTGTATATTTGTGTAAAATGTTTGTGCTACTTGCCCTGATGAATACAGACTGAGATGTTGTTGCTGATCGAATAACAAAGCTCCTCTGAGTTTTCTTTGTGTTTGACTCTCATTCTCTCGCAGCCTCGACTTAAAAAGTCACATTTGTTTTGAAAAAATGTGAAAACTTGTCATGTGGACAGTTGAGCGTTACAGTAGTCTCTTTTCTTTCTACAGGTTGGTTGCAAGCCTAACCCCAGTTTGTTCCTCTCATGTAAGCATCCGTTTTCCTGAAAGATCAAACAATAATTATCTTTAAAAAACCCCAGGAGGAAGTTTGGATGAAACTTACTGCAATTTCAAAGGTAGTTTTCCAAACTCTTTTAAGACTCTTCTGTCCGTATGGATGAGAATATATTAGATTTTTTAAGTTGTGACAATTTGCTTATAAAAAAAGAATTGTAGGCAGTATGAAAATATTAAAATAAGGGGAAAAAAACATTGATAAAATGCATCTTACTCAAAAACATTTGTTTTGTTTGACGGCACAAACCTTTTGCTCACAAACTACAGCAGTCCAACGGGATTAAGGTTTTGCCAGGCTCACATTATCCTGTAGAGGTAATGCAGTGAAACTAGAATACATTACTACATATTGCATTCATGGTCAGCGCTAATGTCATCTCTCTACTGTCGGCTGTCTAACAAAGGCCTAAAAATGACCCCAATAATATTTATGAAAATATTTGGTCTTGTCTAGTTCACCTTTAGCATCTTTAAATCTGACAACCTTTTGTTCACACGTAGAAAAACAAAAAATTCTCTTCGTCTTTACCTCTGATATTTTTAATTTGTGCATCAGTCATACTTCTGTCTGCGTCTAGTAATGTGCATCATTGTAGGTCACAACAATACAACGTGTAAAACAAACACTCTCACAATATAATGCGACAATACGACAGTTGGTTTTGTTCCAAAGATATTTCTACACATAAAAATATTAGCGATGTTGAGTCTTCGTTGTTTGTATAACTCGCCTACAGCAGTCAGCTGAACCTTTTCGAAACAGGATGATACGCATTTAAAGGGACACGCCGGTGGTTTTGCATGTTTTGATCCGGTTCCTACAGATAAGATATAATGACCATGTGTTTTTCCTTCAGTTTCAAGCAGCCATCACTAAAACTCTGTATACACATTGTTGTGTAAAGTTATTGTTGTGCAGTGAACACTTCAAGAGTCCACTAACTTTTTAATACTGTATGGGAATGAATGGAAACTAGTGGCTGCCTAGAGCGGTAGGAAAAATACTAGGAAAAAAAGTGAAGTATACATGATTTGTAGCTAAACTTGAAACTAAATTATTATATTATGATTCCAGACTCGCCTGTTTCATTATACAAACATTATATCACATATTATTTTATATTAAAAACAATAAAAACAAACACTTTTATCAATATATCTCCTCGCTCCAGTTCGGGGAATGTTTCTTAAAGTTACCAAACAACTGGAATCAGGTGTATAAAATAACAGCCTGTAAACTCAGTGCGCCGTTTTCTGATGGGACTTCAGGCTGGAGCGCTGTGTGAAGCACTTCCCGCACAGCGAGCACTCGTAGGGTTTCTCCCCGCTGTGGACCACCGCGTGTCGGATGAGGTTGCACTGTTTGGTGAAGCTCCTGCCGCACTGCAGGCAGCTGAACGGTTTCTCCCCGGTGTGGCTCCTCAGGTGCTCTTTGAGCTGACTGAACCTCATGAAGCTCTTGTCGCAGTACGTGCAGCTGAACCTCTTCTCGCCGATGCCGGACCTCCAGGGCGCCCTCATCCTCCTCACCAGGCCGAAGCTGATGCTGCGCCCGCAGAAATTGGTGTCCGCTGTGTTTGGAGGCGCCGAATCCTCGTTCGGGTTCCTCGTGTGAGGCGCGGAGTCTCTGTACTGATGCTGTGGCTGCTGAGGAATCAAACACTGATCCATGGTGTTGAGCTGAGATAAAGCATTGTGTCCTTCCTCTGGTTGTGGTCTCTTACATCCAAACACTCTGGCTCGTCTTTTCACCCGTGCTGCGCTCACTGCGACTGAATGTGACTTCCCCACTGAGTGGATTTGGGGCACCATGTCTTCCAAATGAAGCCCACTTTGAGACGGGAACACCGGGGGAACTGGCTCAAACTGCTGCCCGGTGTACGAGAAGCCCGGGTCAACAGCGTCTCTGCACAGATTGGATGCCCACAGCTGACCGTCGCCGTCCTCTGTCACAAACTCGTGGGCTGAATCCAGAGGAGCTGCGTTCTCGTCGGGCTCTTCCTCTCGCTCGTGTTTCACTACGAGCTCGGCCTCATTTTGGTTTCTGTTTAGCTGCTGGTCCGGGAAAGCGCTGTACCCGTCTGCCAGATGTCCGGGGTCGCCTGGGTTCTCAGCCGAGTCGGTCCGCGCGGGTTGTGAGGCTTCGAAACATGGCGGCTGCTCAGAGACTAAAGGAAGCACAGGAACCAAAACATTATCTTAAAGTAGAGGTTTTCAAGCTCCAAGTCTAAGAAACTTTTAAAATCAACTCTTTTTAATTACCAAAGAACAATGGACGAATCATTCAGATACTAATTTAAATAGTTTTAGTTCTTTGAATGTCATTATTTGAGTTGTAGTTAAATATTCTTAAATATTCAATTATTTCTCAGATGTCCCCCTAAATAATCAATAAGGGATTGGAAAGGATTCACATTCAATGAGCAGATTTAATCTTACAGAAATCCAAAAACCAAATGCAACCAGGAGCAACTGGACCAGAACCTGCATTGACTCTAAGCAAATGAAAGACCTGTGAACAGTTTGACTCCAGTGGTTCCAACAAGCCCAAATTATGGAAGAAACGGACTAAATATTCCTGAAATGTAAATATAAAGAGTCAGTATAGTTTAATAAAGAAACAAACTAGTGTAATGGAAAATGATTAGATTGTAAAGTTCCTTATATGATGATGATGCCTTACACTATGTATCCTTTTTATCCTTACATGCTTTTGTGCAACATGTTATTCGACATATAACCTATGAGTTACGACATTCTCCTTGAATAGTTCTTTAAGATGATTTGTACTCTGGCAGATTGTCCAGAGAATTTACTATCCATGTGTAGAAAATGAAGCTACAGATTAGCCTGGTGCTGCTCCCCGAGAGCGGTTAATCGGAGGCCCACAGGAAACTAACCGATCAGGGATAGAGACACTCTGTGGGAGTTACGAGAAAGCCTGTCCTTGTAACAGCAGCTACAGTTAGAAACTTACTAAAGCAACAAGTTAAAGCTATCTGTGAATTAGGTAAACTCCATAAATCACAGAGAGCTGAGGCAGGATGTGTGACAGGAACCAAACCCAACAGGAAAACCACCTCGGTTCTGTAGTTAAACTGGGCCTCCGTTTGGTCTCAGGGGCTAAAAAAAAACCTATGTACAGTATTTATTTATTGAACTATAATGACTCGTTTATATATTTATTAATATACTTATTGCCTCATATATGTATTGACTTAAATAGCATTCCATAAGATATAACACTTAGATCGCTTACTTGATGTGCACATTTAAATGTGGTTATTTCTGTCACATAGTCTGTAATTAGAAACTCTCTATTAAGCACATATTTCTTATCATGTGATGAGCAAAGGAAGTTTGTGTGTGTGTGTGTGTGTGTGTGTGTGTGTGTGTGTGTGTGTGTGTTTGAACTCACTCAGTTTGTCCTCTGAGTCGTTCTTCCACATGTCCTCCTCTGCACGCTCCTCTTTGATCAGTATGTGTTCAGCTTCAGCAGCACCCTGCAACAGCGGGCTCAACGTTAATACGCACACACACACACACACACACACACACACACACACACAGTATAAGTAAACGGAAAAAACCATCTGCACTGAGTTAGACTTACCATGGATACGGTGGAAATAAACTACAGTACCATACAAGTTTTTATACTTTTCATATATTTTGCAAGATGTGTGCATTTAATGAGTCCTAATAATGTAAAATACAATTATTATGTTTTATATTTACGTATTTATATCTAACTTTAAGCTCATAAATGGACACTTTGAACGTTAATAAATGAATAAAATCCCCACTTATGATCAATTAATGTTAAGTTTAAGTCATTTACCAGGAGAACATTTTAAAACATTTTACATTTGAAGGCTTTTCTCCTCGTACACTGAATATATTTGGGGTTTTTTAACTGTTGCTCAGACAAAACAAGGCAGATTCTTTATTGTCCTTTCCAGGAAACGTGTTACTACATGCAGCTTAAAGACATAACATTTATTCTAAATGATCAACTGGTTAATCAGAAAGTAATTTAATAAATAAAATAGTATTTTTATATACCTGCTGGGGTTGATTTTGAGCCTCAGCATCCATCTGTCTGTCCCAGTCTGTGCTCTGTCTCTCTTTGTGCAACACTACTTTGACTAAAGGAGAAAACCTCTCGGCTGCTGGAGGATAAAACACTGAGGAAGGAAGAATAAAACACACACATTTTAAAAAGCAGGAATAAAACAACAACAACAACAACACACTCTTTCTATCCAGTAAATTCTAACCCTCACCTTTCCTCCGGGCTCTCATCCTGGTCCTCCTCAGCTCTGCCTCCATCACCTCACACTTCCTCTGCAGCAGGTCGATGTCCCGCCGGCTCTGGCTCACCTCCAGCCGGAGCACCGCGCAGCTGTCATCCACACGCCGGTTTATCTCCGCCACGGCCGCCTTGGCCAGGACCTCCATGACGGACAGGAGCTGGCCGTGGAAGCTGCAGTCCTCCATCGGTTTCAAGCGACCTTCAGCTTTTTTTTATGTCAAACACCGAGAAATAAAATGTGTTTAACCTGTGACACTGTATGTGCCTGTGTGCCGCCCACCTTGCAGGATGAATGTAGTCCGTCAGAATATTGTGTATTGCATTGTTGTTTTGGGGAGTCGGGAGATGATGTGTAGTGAAGTCTCTTCCGAGGATGGTGAAGTGGGGGAGGGTTGCTCGTTTTTCTATCCTTACGAGCCGTACGGGCGGTGTCGGTTCCGCTTGGTTTTGGTCATATAATGTAAATTTTCCCTTTTTTTAAATTAACGTACTTAAACATGTCCTATCTGCCATGTGAGATTAATACAAGTTGGGGAGTTTTAATGTGTTTTTGACGTTGGTTTAGTGTTGTTTCCGCCCCTGCGGGACGTACGAGAGTCCGAAACGAGGTCAGCGGCAGCAGCGTCACTTGTAGCTACAGGTGAATTACCGTAAATACCGGATTACATCCTAATTGTGACCCTGGTGGCGGATGTCAGACTCTTTACACGGTAAATATATATGACTAAAGATATTTACCAAATTATAAAGTTGCTAATATAGTAATTTATTGTCATTTAAAACCCATTAATGACCTAAACATTTTTATAAGCATTAAAAATAATCCCCGCGACAGAGAAACAGTCTCAGCAGGTCGATACAAAGAGGCCAAGCACTGTAAATATGTAATTAATAAGCTTAAAGATATAGATTTAACCAAGGGTATGAACTATAATGACAGTATTTATATATATGTTTGTGTGTGAGAGAGAAACAAACATTCAGTGGTACTACTTTCTAGTAACTCACTTTTTATAAGGAGTTCATAAGTTGCAATTAATGGTTAGTAACTTATTTACTAATGATGTAGCAGTTATAAAACATTATTAAGATCGATTGTGAAAATACACACACTTAACTTTAGGACTATTTGGACCAAATATCAGTTTATTAACAACCTAGTTTCTTAGTCTAGACTTGTTGGCGACTCCTCAAACATTAATTAAAGGATCACTAACATTACATTTGCATTAAAGAGAATAAAAACCAGCCAAGGGAACTTTTTATACCATAAATGATAACCATTAATAAAGCCATTTGTGACAACTTATAAATACTGTTTGAGGGGGTTTCCGAGGCCCAGGTGAGAAGTACCACAAACTACCACAGTGTTTTATATGTCATAATATGTGTATAGCTTTGCACAATATGGTGCACCAATGTAAGTAATATCCATATATCAAAATCACAACAGCGCCAAGACTTAGAAAGATAAGTATAGCGAATATAACTAGATACATTAACTCAAGTACTGCGCTTAAGCACAATTGTGAGGCACTTGTACTTTACTTGGGTATTTCCATTTCATGCTACTTCTACTCTACTACATTGATCTGGTGGTGACAGCTGGTGTTTTGGTTACTTTGAAAAAAAATATATAAAACAGATGTAATAGTATAACACTGCCAGGGATCACTGTGGTACACGAAGAGGAAAATACTACTTATTTTGATATTCTGTTGTAATTTTTGGGCCTTTTATTTGCGGTCCTAAGTACTTTGTGGGAACTCGTGGCACTTTTTCTGCAGTCCTATGCACTCATTTGGTATTTTGTGTTACTTTGCGATTTGCTTTGTGGTTGTTTGCAGTAAAGTTGAGTGATTTTTTAACTGTTGCTGCTTGTTGGTAGTCTGTGGTAAAAAATGTGGTAGTTTTAGTTTCTGTTGTGGTGTGATTTCTGGGTCTTGGCGATCGTTTATAATAATTGATGGGGCTAATTTGTGATACATAATGTGGTGATTGTGCCAGTACTTTCTTGTATTTTGTGGTACTTCAACAGTACTCACCGAGGCCCTGTGGTAAAGGTAGGTAGCTCTGATGTACAACTGACACAGTCAAAGGAAATAGGCTGAAATGAGTTAAATGTGTCCTTTACGTACATTTACTGTCCATTTCTTGCTTTCAGGGGGAGAAGCACAAATGGAGCTCGGTCTACGCACAGATGAACCCGGCACACAAAGGGAAATAGATGCACTATATAGATACACTGAACTGATTTCCCTACTCAATCAGCAGAGGCGGAGAGAAAACTGTGCGCCATATACAGAGAGAAAACACAAGAGAAGGAGAGACACTCAGGAAGTTAACAGGGGAAGTCTAGTGGTTTCTTGCGTCATCATTTTATGCTGCTACTTGTGTGCCGATGCAGAGTGAAGGTAGGAACACTCGTATTTGCTTTTATAACTTGTTTATTTGCTCACGTTCCGACAGCGAAACTCTTCCCCAAAAGTGGACAGACAGGGAGGGATGGTGGACAGGAGCAGAGCGGTGGCAGGTGTGAGGGAGATGGAGGGGTGGAGAGGGAGTTTGAATGTCTGTGTGAGTCTATATGTTCAGGCTCTAACAGTGTTCGACTTCCGCTGCAGTGAAAAAGGGGGGCCGCAGTTGTCGTGACATGCGGGCAGGGAGGACAGAACCGGCCTGTAGTGAACACTGTCCTCATGGCTGGAGCTTGGATTGGAAGTTTAAGTGGGTCCACGAGTCCAGAGCGATATTATGGTGTGATTGGAGGTGAAACATTCAGTGGTTCACTTCATTGAATAGGAGAAGTAACAGAGGCAAGGGTGTGGCCTTTCATTCGAAAAAAAATCAGCATATCAGGGGGAAGTGGAGAGCCTCATATGCACCCTGAGGATTCAATTTGTTATTAGATTTTTTCGAGGCAGATTGTTGCCTCCAAGGTGAAGCTGGTGCGTGCACAAAGAAACGTTTTGTTATTTCTGCTTTTTTTGCAGGACGGAAGATCAACCAAAGTATGTTCTAACACTCCAGCTTGTACACATCAACTCCAAATGCAACGTGACTTACAGAGGAAACAACCTGCACTCAACAACATGCACTGAAGCAAAGGAAACAGAAGCAGCAGCGGCAGCACGGTGAAATCTCTAAAATGTGCAGCACCTCGTCAAAGTCAGTGTCACTTTAACCGAGTTGGTCAACACATCCAGCAGCCAGATCGACAGTCAGTTAATCTGACGGCCACAGACACAAGCAGCTCGGGCCGGTCTGAATGTGAGGTGAAAAAACAGCCAACAGGAAGAGATGCGGAGAGTTCGGAGAAAAGTAGGAAACAAAGAGAAGGTGTTTGGATGTGATCTGCTGGAGCATCTGAACGCCTCCTCTCAAGAGAGTAAGTGAACAGACATATTCCTGTAACCATTTTCTTCATTACAACACACACTGAACAGCATCCTGTATATGTAACATCACCACAAACGACAGTGTTATTTAACCCTAGACTTCAGTGGTACTATACAATGTTTATATAACAATATGTGTATAAGATGTCTTAATTAATCTGCTTAAATAGAAGTACTACCCAATATGTTGTTGTGAATATTTCAAAAACCACAAATGACATCCAGGAGCCAAATCTGAAGGGTCACCAGATAATTATTAATTATTATAATAAGATTATGCTCATTTTTTCTGACTATTCTCAAATCTTTCAAATTGAGTCTTTCTTGTGAGATGCTATCACTGCATCGGGCATTTAAAAATTATCTAAATGAAACAATCGGAGAGGTAAAAATCCCTGTTTTGGGCTCACAAATCCCCACAGAGGCCATAACCTCACAAGCCAGAAAGGTTTGGGAAACGCTGCTCTAAAATGTCCCTAACGTTGGTAAAAAAAACTATTATTCTGTCAGATTATTAGACTAGGTGTCCCATTTTGCTGTGACAATCCTCAGACAGATATGAAGTCAAGAAAAGACTCCTCCTATGCTTTTTTTTTTAAAGGCACATGTTCAAGTATTTCTTTGTTAAGACTCAAACCACGCAGGATCAACCACACCAGGTCTGCTTATAAGGGTCACATTTCATTTCATATATTCTACTTCTTTTTTCAACTTTGCTAATGTCAGTATGCTACATTAAACAGGAATAATGTTTACCATGTTCACAACCATAGTTTTGTGTGACAGCCATGATTTGCTCATTAGCAATAAATAGAAAGTACAGCTGAGCCTGATGGGAAGTCTTTACTTTTGTGGGTATTTGGCCGTAGACCAGAACATGAACATGGACGTCTGTACCCAAAGTTTTTGAGACATTTCACTCAAAACCAGAAGTAGGATATTCATGGGAAATGTCAGAGAATCATTAAAGTCAGCTTCTTTTTATCCAACATGGACATGATGTTTTGACCACATCCTCGGGTGTCCGTGTTGTTAGGGATGCGATAGCACTGTGAGGGTATTTTCTTTTGTCTTTCTGTGACATATGTGTCATAAAAACGACTATCATCTAAGAAACATACAGACACAATACATTAAAACTGAAGGTGTATGTCCATATACAAAGTTAACAAACTGAATATTTTAATAATTATTCCCTATGTTATTGTTCATTTCATTAATTTGGCTGTTTCCCACAGTTCCTCTGGTGTTGCGATGCTGCAGCGAGTTCGTTGAGACTCATGGAATCGTGGATGGAATCTACAGGTTGTCCGGAGTGTCGTCCAACATACAGAAACTACGGTAAGTCGCGTCTTTGTGTGAACCTGTATCTGTAACTGTAGCTGTATACTCTATATGAGCGTGTGTGTTTGTTGTGTTGATGTACTCTAAAGTGAACTCTGTTTGTGCACACAACCAGGGGTGAGTTTGAGATCGACAACAGTCCAGATCTGAACAAGGATCTGTACCTGCAGGACATCCACTGTGTCAGCTCTTTGTGTAAAGCCTATTTCAGAGAGCTGCCCAACCCTCTGCTCACGTACCAGCTGTATGACAAGTTTGCTGTGAGTAGCTCAGACGCACAAACATTGTCACACAATGTCCCCCCTCTTGCATGTTTATGGAGTGTATCAGACAGATCAAATGCATGATCCTTTGGAAAGTATGGAATATATAAGTCCAGATCCCCCAGTGAACATAGACAAGTATGGTAATTATTTTTTACAATAGTTCTTTATATGCAAATAAAGAATTACTAGAGAGTATATGTGCTATATTTCTAATGGTGGAAGAAGTACTCAGATCCTTTACATAAGTCAAAGTAGAAATTCCATAGTCTGAAAATAGTCTTAAATGTAAAATGTTGAACTGTTATTAACAAAACATAATTAAGGTATGAAATGTAAAAGCACTCATTATGCAAAGTGGCTCCTGTCAAAGTTTTGTATTATTATA